GAAGAAACAAAAACTCAGTGATTCACAGAAGTAGAAGGAAAAATGCAAGGTTGTAATTTTGTGTGAGGTGATTCAGGACTGAAAGGTTGCAAAACAGTATTTGGATAAGTCATGTGGAGTAAATTACATTTTAAAACTGTCTGGCTCATTCCAGAACAAAGAGGTGGGATTAGAAAATCGTGTTTATTCCAATAAATTTCCATAGTTCAAGTTTTATTCTTGTTTTAATCAAGCAAACCTATTTTAAAATAACTCTGAGCAGTTTCCTGCCCTCCCACCCTACTGGTTGAAAGTGAAATTACAACAGTCGTAAACAACCCTGCTGCAGCCTGCTGTAGCTAGCACTAACAACAAGCTAACACTAACATGAGCCAAATAATGCTAAAATAACCCACAACGTAATAATATCCACACTGTTGGACAAAAATATTATTACTTACAGTCCTGTAGCTACAAAGCCAGGTCACCATCAGTCTATAATTCTGTAGTCTCCTTTAACTCCCTCAAACTAGCCTATGCCGTGCCGATGTTCACTCTGGTTTTAGCTCTTTGCTTCACCTCCAAAGGCATTATTCTCTTACTTTTATTTCCAGGCGCCACACTGATACCAACAGAAAAAGCAAACTTATCTTTTTGTGCTTTTTATTGACGACCGGCGAACTGAAAATGCTAACTGCTAGCATTACAGCTAACAGCTGTATAGCAGGTAAGGAGCGCCCCCTAGGACACCTACCCACTCCACAAAACTATCTAGTGCCGTTTTTGGTCAGCAGAAAGCTGCAGAGTGGTGTCAAATATGAAACTGGTCAAGGTTCTAAACTGCAAAATATAATCAATGTTATAATTGTTATTATTATTGTTACCATGAAGATTATGTTAAACAAATGATAGATTTTACTAAAAAATATACATAATGTGTTTTACTTTTTCAGGGCGTATGTTCAAATATGGCAGCTTTGATATTCATGCAATGATTTTACCAACTTCATTGTTTACCATTTATAAGGCATATATACTTATTTAGCACAACTAGCCAACCTTATGATGTAAGATTTTCATAAACCTAGCATTGTTATTTTGGAGATCTGACCGTTAACGTGAGAAGAGAGCGAGCAATGTTCTGGTTTTGCATACACACCGATATTTGGCGCGTCATAGCCCCACGCTGATTGGTAGAATGGTGCCATGGTACGCAATGTGACTAGCTTGATCTCTGAACATTGGTTAGGTGAATTCCCATAATTCTAAGAGTCTGTGAAAAGGCACGCTAACATCATTTATGATGTGAGTGGAAGTGTCTAAATATAGGCGTTGGCCCTGTAAAAGGTTAAAGTTTGAAAAAACTATCTACTCTAAATACAGAATAACAAAAGTGAAACCTAGTTGAATACATCAATTGTTGGTGTCTAATATGTTTAAATACATTCTAGAAAGTCAGTCATAAATGCACATACTTTTGTTTTTGTTCAATGGTGCAAACATCATTTTAGCTTTACCTAAACTTTGCCATATAGAAACTCTGCAACCATCTAAAAAAAACACAGGAGCCACTAAGTAAAATATTTATGTTCTTGTGTGAAAAAGACTTAACTTTGATTCACTTTGCCAAATTCTACAAAAAAAAAAGGGGGGGGGGGTAAAATATTTTCTTGTGCAACCATGAACTTCTGCCTTTATTGATGTTGGCAGACTTCTTTGATGGATTAAACGACTAATCTGTCTGATTGGGGATTGTTCTTTAATTAAAACCCATGCTGGGAGACTTTACGTTTACCCACTCTTCACCAAGACTTTACAGGAGAAACACGTTCTGCTGTAAAGTTTTGGATCATGACGGAGAGTGAGCATGTCTAAATAAGCTGATCTGTTCTGTACAATGTTCAATCTCGTTTCAGCCGTCAGCCTCTGGTAGATCTTAATGCACCCAAAAATGTGTTTGCTTGATAATTATGTTCAACTTTTATGCAAAATGGTTCAATTGAATGCTTCCTTTTCAGCTTGTGTTTTGGTTTCCAGTGCAACATAATTTATTCTTTTCAAAAAAGATCAGTTGCACCAGATGTCCTTGTTCAGTTAGATCCACTGCATTCCAATCAGAGCCTGTCCGAGCATTGCTGACTTGTTAAAATGTAACAAAGAAAACTTTCCTCTAGCCTCCTCATCCTTCCTGTCCCATGACCCTGTTTTTGTTCTTATGAACGGAAAAGGCCTTTTGCAATTTTGCTGACGTGTGTTCTTCCCCACTCCAGCTTGGATCTGCCTAATCTGACCAGTAAGAACACACTGTAGGCCAAACAGTTGTACCATGAAGTGTTGACAGCTAGTATTCCTGGATACCCGAGGCGTCCAGTTAGGCAGTGAATGCTATGATGTGCTTGAGCTGACATAGAGAATAAGGATTGGAGACATGGTTGAAGAAAGGCATTTCAAGCTCATGCAAGAAAACTAGACGAATGATTTATCAAACTATTTATTCTTCTTATTTATTCTAAAAAGACAAGAAAAAGTAGAGTTTCAATTTTTAGAGGCATCTTAATTAAAGAAAAAGTACATGTTGCATTATCCTACACAATAAAAGCATGTAGTAAATTAGCATGTAATTGGAACCATTTTCTGAGCGATCCATTGAATGTAGCTTATACTTTCTTCCAGCTCTGGAGGAGTCTGATAAGATGAATGCGAACAAGTGAGAAGGATGTATAATGGTACGTTAATACCAACCTATCGATTTTCTGAGCATAGACGCTCATGTACATTGATGCTTTTAGGAAGAATAGGCTATGAAAAGGGCAAGGGCTTCAGTTTGTTTTTAAAACCGGTGAGGACGAAATACAGAGAGTGTGCCTTGAAAATGGTTGAGGACATTTTTTTCAGTTATTTATATATAAGTGTCTTTTTGCTAGATGTTTCAATTAGAATATGCACTGCATATGACCTGCACTTGTACAGCGCATTTCAGAGTCAGAGGACTCCAAAGTGCTTTACGCTATACTACATCATTCATCCATTCACACACTGGTGGTGATGAGCTATATTGTGGTCACAGCTGCCCTGGAACTCACTGACAGATGCAAGGCTAATGAGCACAGGTGCCACCGGTCCCTTCGACCACCACCAGCTGGCAAGGTCTCTCCCAAGGACACAACAGCACATTTTTCAGCTGGTATTGATCCTACAACCTTTCGATTACTGGACAACACTCTTCCTCCTGAACTACTGCTGCTCATTAAAAGCTGGGATAAATCCCACAAATCACCAGGTAAAAGATGAGCACATAACCTCTGGGCCATGGCGGCACTTTCAAACTTTTCAGAATAATACCCATAAAATAATACGTACTTTACCCGTGTGAGGTTTCAGTTAACTCCATATTCGCTGACCAAAGCTTAGCCATTCATGATTCGACAGAGTGATAAAAATAAAATGTAATAGTCGCATCTGTAGGACCGTCCAAGAGAACAAAAATGGAACCAACATCTAACAAAACTGTGCTGAAAGTGCAGCCCTAACAGTAAAACTGACAACAAAGAACCCAGTTTTATCATGTTTGATATTAACCTAAAGTTTAGTTTAGCTAGCTAGTGTTCACAGTTCAACACACTGCCCCTGATTGGGTGGAACATACTTCCCATCATGCCACACTCTTTCTTAAATGTGTGTAAAATGAAAATTTAACTAAATTAAGTATGGTTTATTTTTATTCAAAGTGAAATTATCACTGATGAAATGAAATATGGACCTCTATCAAAGAAAAATGTGGCCATACTTGTTAAGTTAATAAACAAGTGCCCCTATGACTAAAACAGTTTATGGAGGGTATGGAACACTGAAAACCCATTTTTAAAAATCTTATTTCTGATTGTAATTGGTCACTCACAAGTTTTTCATGCAGGCTGAACATGAAAATAGTACGTCACACTGTCGCAGAACGTTCATTAATTCAGCCATATTGACTGACGGTAGGGAGGGCTGTGTTGTTTTAGCGTCTTGGCTAGTAGAAGCTAACCATTGGTATTAGCAACTCCCCCACACAGCAGTACTCCTCTGGGTTTGTGTTATTTGTGGAGATAAAACATCAACGTTGCAGAGCAAACAGAGTTAGTGGTAGAGTTGTGCTGTTGTTAGCCAATCTGAGGCGAGATGCCCAATTATCAGGAAACAAAATTCCAAAACTTGCCGGCATTGGGTCCCATTTCTTAAGTATTCGGCTTGACCCGACCGTTTTTGACACTGGTTGAGCTCTAGGACCAAGCGGGAAACAACCGTTTGTGTTGAAGCCTGTTTCCCATTAGAACATAATGTAAAGACAAGATGGTGCTTGTTTACAATTTTTTTCTGGGAAAGTCAGCTCTGCGCATCCTCAACATTTTTTATCTGATGGAGTCCTTAGTGTATGCATACTCACGGCACAATCGAATAATTTCAGTTAGTGTCTATATAAGCAAAGATATGGGGTTTTCGATCAACCATGATTTGAATCAGATATGGGGAAATTTGGTGCATGTAAACATAGCTATTGAGAACTTGCTCCTTTCTGTATCCAGCCTCTAGTTGATGAAGGGGTAACTGCAATTTTTTTTTTCACTTCCCCTTTGGCTTCAATTTCTGCAGGCAGAGTTTGCCCCTTGGGTAAGACACTTAACCCTTGTCCGTGCAAGCTGTTGATGGTTGGACAAACTGATGGTCTTGTAGCAAAACAGCTGTGGCTAATGACTGCACTTTTAAGTTCCTGACTTAGAAAAGTGCTATATAAATTATAACCTACCTAAATTTCGGGTCCATGGGGAAGGCTGTGCCAACAATGAATGGTGAGAAAAACAGTGAAGTAGAAAAAAACCTAACTAAGACACTTGAATCACTTTTTTCATTCTAATTTTCCATTTCCTCGCGTTATTTTTAAGTAGCACAGTAAAAGCACAATGCAGGATGAGGACGCGAGGTGTTGCTGGCCCTTTAAGAGATGTTTTGCCTCAGCACGTGCTTGCCATATATGGGAGCAGCAACAAACACTGACCGTCAGTTACCTCTGCTGCACGGCGCCGCTCCGCATCGAGCTGAGCTATAAAAGCCTGGCGGGGAAGAAAAGACACTTTTGGTAGACCTTGAGACACGACAAGGAGGAGCACCGTGGCGTGAGAGAAGAGCGATTTATCCTCAATGTTCAACCTGTTTGAGACACGAGTCTGCAATTTATGAGAAGCAGAAGAGAGAATTTACACACCGAGATTCAGGTTGGTTTGAGTTTTTTTTTTTAGGGATGGGATTTGAGTTTTTCTTTGTTAACAAGAACGTACTGAATCACAGTTACGCTTTCTATTTAATTGTTTAGTCATACATTTATTTTGTTAATTATCTAAATATAATTTGCTTAAATTAGGTTGTATAACAGGATTTGTCAACCAAAAACCCGATTTCTGCACGTTGTTTAACAATTAATTTCCATTTTCTTTTGAACTCGCAGACTTGAAAACTATTATGTATTTATACTCACTGAGTGTTATTAATGCCAATCGAATCTTTTTTCTTTTATGAGCTTCTTTTGTGTGTTGCTTTTATGTTTGCAGTTTTCCGGTGGAATATTTTCAAAGTAAAAGTCCACTAGTGTCAACTTTTTAGTTTAATATTAAATAAAACGGCTTCCGTAGTATTTTTGTATTATATAGTCTAGTTCTTTAATTTCGTGGTATTAATAACGTGTAAGCCTCGTTTAAGCCGCTGTAGGTTTTATTTTGAAGGGTAATTTAAGTCGCGTATGGCTTCATTTCATCTGGCTTGATTTTAGTCAGCATCGCTAAACCGAATGACCGACAGTAACCCCGGTTTAACGGAACAATGAAAAAAGGACAAAAGTTAGTTTGTAAATTAATGACTTCGGATGAGCTTATTGAAATTCGATCGAATTGTTCTGGACTTTCCCTCGACACAGTAAAGACTTAAAATGTGTGAATTTCTTTTTTTCTTTTTTCTTTGATGGAACAAAAGGGTTTGCAACGAAGTGTTTCACGTTTTTTTTTTTGTTATTTTTGTGTGTGTGTGTGTGTGTGTGTGTGTGTGTGTGTGTGTGTGTGTGTTTATGCCTTCTGGGCCATGTAAATTCGTCGAATCCGGTCGCCTTTGGTCTTCCCCTGTCGTTCAGCAGAGGAAAAATTAATTTATGCCAACTATTGACAGAATATAAATGTCCCTATTAAAATATGTCCTCTCTGTTTAGAGTTTCGTTTTAAATGAACATTTATGTTTTTCTTTTTTATAATGACATAGACTATTTTTTTGGGGGGGGGGGGGGGGGGGTACACCATAGCATATGACACGTGAGCACGAATTGATGGTAAACAAGTTTTAATGTGATTTTTCTTTGTCTGCTTACCACTAGGGGCGCACTCGCTCTGCACCATTTCAGTTGTTTTTCATTCAGCCACAAAACAGGCTTTTCGTATGCAAACCAACTTGCGTATTCGATGTCCACCGATTTAATTAAAAACTAAAGCAATCACAAGCTGTAGTGATTATAATGTGACTCTTATAACAACCAGGAAAAAAGGTGGGGTCTATTTTAATGCAGATTATTTCTGTCAACAAACAGAAAATATAAAAATGACCAAATCTTTTTTACACAATGAAGTGGAAAATACATAAATAAACTGAATGCCTTGTTGTTTATCTTTAGCTCCAAAAACAATCTTGCATGTCTATATGTAGATGAAGGTTTGGGCAGCTCTTTGTAAAATAAGATGATCTGCTTGCTTAGCTGTAAATTAAATTTCTGTGAAATGTTCAGCTGTGTTACTGCCGCTAAGGAAAACCAGCTGTATCAGTACAGCAGGTAAAGTGTGTGGACACTGCTGTGCTGCCCACTGATCTCTTGGTTCCTGGTAGTTCTCGTTACGAAACCTGAATCTTTCCAACATTTGTTCATTGCAGAGTTTGTTTTAGCAGATCCTAACATCTGTGTTGCATTTTGTTCTCCATTTTGTGAGCTGTTCTGTAATCCGTGCAATCACTTGGCTGTGAGCCTTTACATATTTTCCTTTTCCAAGTATTAAGACGTCCCAGATAGTGTTGAAACACAGCAGGCATTTTTTTTCCCATATATCTATTATGGAGAAAATTGAGTTCAGAGGCTCCTAAACTGGTTTTTGCAACAGCTTAACTAATCAGCAGTGGACATCGTGTTTGAACCTTACAGGGTCCTTGATGTGGTCCCACCATGTATGTCAACCAATCAGCTTTATTCTATATAAAGGACATTCAGCTTGAAAACAGCGAAGCGATGAAATCACATTTTACCCCTTTTGCTTGTCTTCAAACTCCAAAGAATTTCAGAAAATATTGAATAAATGTCCACAAATGTAGACTGAGACCTTTTGTTTTAGGTCTGTTTTCATGTTAACATCTTATTTGCATCTTTTAACAACTTTTCCCCCCACAAATGACTCATGCACCTGCAATAAACAAATACATATTAGACAACATAAATACCATACAGCCTTTAGATGGCCTACAAAGATGTGGACTACTGCTGTTCAACCTGATTGAGCCAAATGAAGAGAAAGTGAGAGGCGGGCTTAGTTGTTTAATTCCCACATTTACATCAAATGCTCTATTTGGTTTTAAATGCTCAAATGTTTCATGATAGCAGGATACCTGAAACCTTTCATGACCTGAAAACTGCCCCTGCCCCCACCCCCTCATCCTCTCAGATGAAGTGCTTGAACTTTGGATGGACTAGTTTGCCCTTGAGTGGATCGGAATTTACAGAAGCTGGTAGTCTTCCTGGGTTAGCTATCTGACTTCATTTGCTAATTCTTGCTGCTGTTTTGATTGGTTTGTATTTGAAATGAAGACGTTTCTAATTTAATGCGTTTCCCGTTTAAATCCCAGCTGCTGCTGCGTCTTATTCCTGTATTTGTTGGATTTACGTGTTTTTTGCTCATGGTTTTCTGAAATGAGCAGTTTCGGTTCTGCTTTTCTGTTGGTTGGTTTGGTTTGGTTTGCATGACTTTTGTGGGGAAAATGTCATTTTGTTTTTTCACAGCAGTACAGTTGGTCAGTGGGGAGTTATATGGCTCTAGTTTTTTCATTTCTTCTTTCATGTGAGCCTCTTTCAAAAGTGTGATTTTGTAACGCTGTGCGTCATGCACACTTGGAGTTGCTGACCCTTTCTGTTTGGGATTTTTAGTGAGGAGCTGGAGTTTGCTCGCGAGGTTGGGAAGACATGGCAGTCTCCACTCAGTTGGGTCTGCTGCTATGGAAGAACTTCACCTACCGACGGAGACAAACTGTAAGTAGGAAAGGTTTTTTATTTTAAAAAATACACATTTTTCTTAATTTAATTTGGCTTTTGATTCTGATTTCCTGAGGTCTCTGCAACACTGTTCAGCAGTGGTGATAATGGTCATGATGGTATTCAAAGCCATTATGCGATAAGGCCATGAAAAACAAAAACAGGGCGTTTGACTTCTCGGATGATTTCCCCAATGCTGATTTGCTTTTCAGTGGATTGACCTTAGATTTAATATAAGTTCAGGTTTGCTAATTGGAATGGCTCAGAACAATGACAATGGCTCAGAGGTGAGCTCACAGCTCAGAACAATGACTATCAGAACTTCTGGGTAATTTGATCGGATCTTCACAGCATTGGGTGCCACCATTTCACCTGGCAGTCCAGAAATCACCATTTTACGGACCTTTTCAGGGACCAACCAAGTACTCTGAAATGGTCCAGTAGAGTTGCTGAGTGGGACTTGTGCTGATTAAGTTGTACCTCAGTGGGAAATTATATCGGAAGTGTTGCCGTCAAAGCGGAATGGAAGGAAAAAAAGGCAGCATTAACACCGCTTTAAAAATTACCGTTCTTAACCAACTCAGTGGCCTAGTGGTAGAGTGTCCGCCCTGAGATTGGGAGATCAGGGTTTAATTCCTGATTGGGTCATACCAAAGACGTTGAAAAATGGGACCCAATGCCTCCCTGCTTGACAATCAGCATTTAAGGGATTTAATTAGGGGGTTAAACCATCAAATGGTTTCCGACCGTGGCTGTGTCTGTAGCTCACCGCTCCCCCAGGGGATGGGTCAAATGCAGAGAACAAATTTGTGTGTGACAACTAATGGGACTTTAAACTTCAAATGCTGAAAAATACAGAGGTAATATCATCACTAGACTGTAATTTATGGCGCTTTTTGGTCTCCTGTAGCCGAAATGGTCGTAAATTAGCTGACATCTTAGCAGTTCCTGAAAAGGAAGGATTTTTTGTTACCATCATATTTTTCTCCCCAGAATATTCTCAGAACTGCTAAAGTGGGAATGCAATTTATGAAGTAATTGTACTTGGACTGAACAAAGTTAGTTTGCTGCTCGCCGTAAACCAGTCAGTGATGTTAAAATGACACATTCCCCATAGCTCCGATCTGGTTCTGCCCACAGTCTTAAAGAAGTTATGCAAATTTTATCCAGTCTCAAACTTTGTAATAGTGCGTCTTTATATGTGGAGAGGCTAGTCTGCATACAATTAAACCGTTTGTTCATCAAACAGAAGCAGCTCCTTAAAGCGCAGCTGTGGCTGGATGACTTTCTGGCTGGGCTTTTTGTACAAAGGGTTACAGCTTAGTTTCTGATCCACCACAATGCATGTCTGCTGTGCTATTTCAAGCAGGCAGATGAAGATCAGAGGCCATATGGTGCAGATGGAAAACCACATAGTCTCTCTCTCCCTGTCTGGCCTTAATAACCCATATGCATTACACAAACTGATGGCAGGGTTACTGTTTGCTAAGGAATCCAGTCAAACAGACTTGTCTGTCTACTGTGGAGAAAAAAAACAAACAGAAATGTTTAATTATTACATTATATCAACCTTTTTTCCACAGATCCAGCTACTTATCGAGATCATCTGGCCCTTGTTCATCTTTTTCATCCTGATATCGGTCCGGATATACTATCCTCCTTATGAACAGCATCAGTGTAAGTTATTATGACTCCAAACATTTTCTTCATTGAATTTAAAAATTATATCACTTTAAAGCTGTCATGTTAAAAAGGATTCAAACCGTTTTAATTCTGGTTTGTTTTTCTGACATTTTACTTTTGTAGTTGTGTGATTCATAGTTATTTTAAGGAATTTGGTTCTTGGAAAGGTCATTTATTTGAGGTCCATGTTATTGATGCTGATAAATCTGTCGGACATGTCAATATTTGTTTGCACTGTGTGAATTTGTGAGATGACCTTTAGCCACGAGGAGGTGGTGAAACAGTGGGTTTCCATATTTCAGCCTTGAAACTAGTCTGAAAGCACCTGTACAGTTCCTGTTTCTTTACAAGACAACCATTAAAAGCTTTTTAAAAGTTTCTTTAATGGTATTTTAGTTGTTAAGTAGATACAAATTTTACAAAACATAGAAGAAGAGATAAAGTCTGATTTGCAAGCAGCAGAGACATCCCTTTGGTCCTGTTAGTAAAATATTTAATTGTTGATTCTAAACTTAAAGCTCACAGTGTTTCCTTGTTTTTAGGCCACTTCCCTAACAAGGCAATGCCATCGGCTGGTACCCTGCCCTGGGTGCAAGGCATCATCTGTAACGCCAACAACCCCTGCTTTCGAAATCCTACCCCTGGAGAGAGTCCGGGTGTTGTGGCAAATTTTAATGACTCCATGTGAGTAACATGATCCTCATGGATCATGTAGATTTGCAATACTTACATTTTAATAATTAGAAACGTGACGAGAGAGAAAAATGACACCCAGTCATCGGAAACATCTTTTCTAATTGCTCTGCTATCATCTCCAGAATCTCCCGTTTGTTCAGCGACGCCAAGAAGATCCTGCTCTACACGCAGAACGATAAGAGCTACGAAGGCTACAAAGGACTGCTGAGGGCCCTCAGGAAGCTGCAGAGGAACCCAGCTCGTAAGGACACGCCTTTAATGATCCATTTAAGTGTGATGACTTCAAACAACCTGTTACATCCAGTTGTGTTTTTGTCTAACTCTTAACGACACACAGCAAGCGATTTCTAAAGTAGCAGGATAAACAAATTCAGTAGTAGTGGATATAAACAGACATTAGTTTGATCATTTTCAGTCTGGTTTTACTGGTCTGGCACTCATGAAGAGGTGGCTGCACCCTTATCCTGCTAGTGTGTGTTTGTGATGATGGAAGGCAGGAAAATTAGAAAATTTCTTTCCACCCGTGCAAATCAAAGCAAAGATTGTTTATTTTGTCGTTACTGGGATTTTGCTGCTTTCTGTCCCGGTTACACAGAAAATGCTACAGATAACACGTGAAATTCTGCTATTGGATTCTTTCCCAGTACACTTTAACTAGGGGTGCACCGATTGCAGTTTTTGGCCGATCACCAATCTTGAAAAAAACCTGACTTGCCGATACCGATTTTGTCTGAACTAAAATGAGATCGTGTCAATGTTTCAACTTCCTTTTATTGAGAAAACCAATATGAATACTCATGACACAATACCGGTTTCAACTGGACACGAGGTAATGTTCTCAAATATAAATGAACATATTTAGCATTGCTGTTTGAACTACAAAATCATATTTGTTTCTTCAGACTTTCATTTATCTAATTTTGAAAACAAAACTTTTGTACCTGTTTTGACACACTTGTCCAAAAAATAAAAATTCTACAGTAACGATTGGCTTTAAGATTAACTAGGGGTGCACCAAGCGCAGTTTTTGGCCGATCACCAATCTTAAAAAAATCCCGAGATCAGGGCCAATAGATCAGTTGGCCGATAGATCGGTGCACCCCTAACTGTAACCTATCCTTTACGCTATATTCTAGGAAAATGATTGTGTAGCATTTTGTTGATGAGTCCACTGAACGTTACTGAGTGAGTGCGTTTACATGCAGCCAGTAACCCTTTAAAAACCCGAATATTCACAATAACCCGGTTCCGCAGGTCCATGTAAACACCGCCAAAAACCCGGATATGCTCATAACCGGGTTTTTAAAAACCCGGTTACTACACCTGGGGTAACCCTTTTCTAACCCGAATGTTTGGTCGTGTAAACGCATACCGGGATATCCCCATCAAAGCGTGTGTTCTGCGCATGCTCTGTTCGCAAGGAATCTTGGTCTTTTGAGTAGGGAGACGTCTTGTATGCGCCAGAGCGCCGGAAGTAAACAACAAGTTGGGAGCAACATGGCGAGTCGCGGCACAGCACCACACTTTTGGAGTGACGAGGAAACTAAAGCACAAACAAACGCGGTCGCTATCTCTTCCGAACTGGGAAACATGTTGTTGTTTTCACGGATACCGGAACAAGAAGAACCGGAAATGACGCATATTGCGTCTGGACGTAGTCCACACGTCCTGACGCTACCCCAACGTCCGCATTTAAATCGGGTTATGCAAGTTAGAGGTAACTCTTTCTATTTATGCTTGTAAACGGGGTATTCTGATCAACTCAGAAACCCGAATCCCGACCTTAACCTGATCATAACCCGGATATTGGCTGCATGTAAAAGTAGTCAATGTTAACCAGCATCCACTCATTTCAAAACTTGCCATAACGAGATTAGAGTCTATAGCAGGCGTGTCAAACTCGTTTTAGCTCAGGGGCCACATTGAGGGAAATCTAGTCCCAAGTGGGCCGGATCGGTAAATAAAATAAAAAACTTCAGATTGTTTTCTTTGTTTTAATACAATCAATATAAAACAAGGCTGGAGCCTGAGGACAGTGTAGTACAAGTACAACACCTGAAGTGTACTTGAAAATTTGAAGAAAAAAAAATCAACAAATTATTAAAAACATTCCTTAGTGATTCAGAGAGCTTACAGATCACATGGCAAGATCAGTTTTATACAGCACTTAAAGTATATTTGACTCATTTTACTTTACATCTTTTAGCTTTCACCGGCACATCAACATCAGGAGTCACATCCTGAGTGGCGGCCAACTTCAGGATGTGACTCAAGTTCTTGTGTGAGCCTTGAGCGCAGCTTTGTTTTATTTATACTCATTACAGAGAAAACTTGCTAACACTGATAAGTTTATTTTCACTCTACATTGTAAAGTATGAAAATAAAGTTTACACAACCATCTCGCGGGCCGGACTTAACCCGCTTGCGGGCCGGATCCGGCCCGCGGGCCGCATATTTGACACCCCTGGTCTATAGTACTAGCCTTGCTACAATATTTTTTATTATAACATTTCATCTAGTGTGTTAGTTATTTCTTCTATTAAGCAGGTTTAGTTTTTTTTAACTAAATTGATTTAACAAAGCAAACCCAATATTGTATTTTAGCTACTATCTGCTCAGTTAGCCAAAGGTTGTGATTGTATGAGATCAAGCAAGGGTTGAAAAGGGTTACACATCTGAGCAAATGAACAGAACGGGCTCTTATTTTCAGTCTTTTGGTTTAAGATGTCATATTCTTTATTATAATTAGATTGTCTTCCTCTTATCTTCAGTCTTAAGGTGACAAATATTTTAATCTCAACTGGAATGAATTTTGTGCAAAGTTTTTATTTAGCCTCTTATTGGTGTTTGTGTTTATTAGTGGAGTTTTTATCAGTTTATTTCAAAACTCACAGATAGAGCTCAGTTTCTTTGTCTGGAATTCCTAAGAGGATATGCTCTGCTCTGATATCCTACCAAGTTGGGGGGTGTATATATATATATATATATATATATATATATATATATATATATATATATATATATATATATATACAAAACACAGGAGACGATGCAATATATTATACCACCAGTTAGATGGTATTTGCAATGTTAAAGCCTGAATTTAGTTGGGAAAACCTTGGTCTATGCTTACGAGACACATCCAGTGTTACCTTGAGATCTTGTTTTGTCAGTATGAAGGCAGTAAAACTGATGCCATCTAGCAGTCAGAGTTTAATTGCACCACACTAAACCAATACAGTAAATGTTTGATGTAAATTATCAAAGGAAAAATCGATAAATTGCTTTTAAATAGGCGGTGAGGTGTAGAGGGGATCTGTTTTGGTGGCCTGAAGATCAGGCCTCTGCTTTCTGCAGGTGATGTGGTCCTGTTGGCTTCATCAGAAAGTGATCTCCAGCTTTCTCTGGAGCGGTTCGTAGCTGGGAAGAGAATCAGCTCCTCTAAATCCAAGACCATTGTTTGGAATCAGAAAAGGGTAGAATGCGTTTTGCAGGTCAGAGACGAGGTTCTGCCCCAAATGGAGGCGTTTGAGTATCTTGGGGACTTGTTCACGAGTGAGGGAAAGATGGAGCGCGAGATCAACAGGCGGATTGGTGCTGCATCTGCAGTGATGCGGGCGTTGTACCGATCTGTTGTGGTGAAGAGAGGGCTGAGCCAAAGGGTAAAGCTCTTGATTTACTGGTCATCTACGTTCCTACCCTCACCTATGGTCAGAAGCTGTGGATAGTGACCGAAAGAACAAGATTGTGGATACAAGCGGCCAAAATGAGTTTTCTCTGCGAAGTGTCTGAGCTCTCCTTTAGAGATAGGGTGAGAAGCCCGATCATCTGGGAGGGGCTCAGAGTAGACCCGCTGCTCCTCCACATTGAGAGGAGCTAGTTGAGGTGGCTCGGGCATCTAATTAGGATATATCCTGGATACCTCCCTGGTGAGGTTTTCTGGGAGCATCCAACTGCGAGGAGACCTAAAGGAAGACTCAGGACACGCTGGAGGGAATATGTTCTCGACTGGCCAGGGAACGCCTTAGGATTTCCACGGAAGAGCTGGCCCAAGTGGCTGGGAAGAGGGAAGTCTAGGCCTCTCTGCTTAGGCTGCTGCCCCCGCGGCCCGACTCCGGATAAGTGGAAGAAAATGGATGGATGAATGCTTTTAAATATTGATACAGCATCATAATAGGAAATATTGCAATATTTCTCTGTATGGATATTTTCCTACATCCGCAGTACCAAGGCCTTTGTATGTGATGCAGCAGTAAGCTAACTCGTCTGTTGCAGCTGCAGAGTGAAGCCTTTCGACAACAGCAGCCTGGATCAAAGCTCCTCATGTGTCCGTTAATAATTCAGTAATTGACTGAATCGGCAAATGAGATTTAGATCAAAAAGACCTTGAAGAACGAGAAGAACCTGTCTGTCCTGAAAATACATACAAATATTGTTGAACCTACTTTTTTTGTCACTTATGATCAATATCTAACATATGCAACAGCACTTGACTAAAACCTGAGCAAGTGAATAGATATAAGGAGAGATTTGACTGGAAACTTTAAAGAATATTCTTCAATCCAGCATTGATTCAGATCATTTGTTTTCGTCACTACGGTCATTTTTTTTATTATTTAAATTTAGCTGTGAGGTGAAATCATCTCTAAAGAAAAGTAGTTTTTCCTAGTCTTGATGTATTTACTCTTTATTAACACTCATCAGGCATGTTGTGCCAAATTTGTGGTCATCCTTTCCCAAAGACCTAGTTTTTTTCCCTAAAGTTTGACACAGGGCTGGACGATATAGAAAAACAGCTTTTCAGCTAAAAATATCTAATTGATCAATATCAATAATTATTGAAAACTATATTAAAATATCATTTTATGCCATTATTTAATGATAAAGCAAGTTGGTTGTTCTACCAGACTTGGTTTTATCGACACTCCACCGTTGTCAGACTTGTAAGAATGAAAATATTAACACACTGGTGAACTACTGTCGCCGTTTTTCTGATCGATTTCTTCCTCCTCTCCGTGCTGCAACATCCTGTTTAAGTAACTATGCTGTCTGTTTAGGTTAGAGAGGAAAGGGCTTGGTGATTGGGTCTGTGTTTTTGATTGGTTGGGTAGAAGTAATGACTCTAGTATGAAGCTACCGGATAAGCTATAATGGATAAAGGAAACTTTTGATTTAAGCTTTTATTGATCTATTGATCCATGTAGTGTATTGTTACTGAATGACTGTCCAGCCCTAGTTTGACAGGTGGTGTCGGCATGTTTGTGTATCAAACAGGATGTGCAGCACACGGACACGTACGGACTTGTAAGGTGTAATAAAGGGACAGGATTGGCAGCAAGCTGACTCAGACATAGTTTGTCTAACCTCCAGTGTTTTTTCCACAACCTGATACAAGTACAAGACCACTTCATACATCTTCATACATCTTACCATCCTGTCTGGTGTCACCTCAGGGGCTTATGCCACCAGTTCAGAGGGAGTTGTGGTTTCCTACTGGGACACTGATTAGGCCCTATTAGTGCTCCCTAGTTGGTAACCTTTGAGGACTAAATGATAAACGCCGTCAGAGAGAAAGAAGGAGTTATTTTTTTTATGAATAAATGGCTCACACACTCGGGGGTGAGTGAGGGTAAAACATGTGTCCTAAACAGACAGGAACACACTGTTCTCTTTCACTTCCTCCCAAGGGGGTTCAGTGTTTCCTGTGTGCGTGAATGCCACATGATCGCTGTAAAAGCAGAAGCCAGATATTTTTGTAAAAACACAAAAGTGATCGATGTTTTTGATCCAAAACGCTAAAGGAATGTGTGTTACCAAAACCCTGTGGGCTGACCTTTTCCTGCATTCCGTCAAACTATTTATTTCTCGCTCGACAGCCAGTTTTTCTACAGCCGGTAAATAAAGGGAGAGGAAAATATTGAAACTGTGGTTTAAGGAGTACACAAAAGCATCCGAGGCAGGGAGGAAATGTAAGGACGAAGGAAGTTAAGAGACGTCGAGGATCTGGAGCAAAGTTTAGTGTCCTGTAGTTGCCTCTGCCGAGCAGTGTGTGTGTGTGTGTGTGTGGGGGGGGGGGGGGGGGGGGGGGGGTCACGCAGTGAAGTACAAAAACCATTTAGAGTTCAGAGAAGATGGATCATGTTTGTGATAAACAATCTCTAGTATTTACATTTTTCATCTGATTTAGGATCAGTCGTTTGATTCTGCGTTCCTGTTGCACACCGAACCCTTCAGTCAGGAATGTTTGTGTGTCTTGTCCAGGTTTTAAGCTCAAGGACTTCCTGAGAGACAACGAGACCCTTTCCCACTTCCTGCACCACAACGCCTCTCTTCCCCACCACGCTCTGAGGCAAATCCTAGAGGCCGATGTCAATTTGGAGAAGGTGAGATGTCGCAGTTGCTGTAATGAGTGTGTTAACCCTGACCCTAGCCCGCTTCACCAACTGAAGCATGCGTGAATAATTCTAACGACCTTGGCTCTGGTCCCTGCTATACCACAGGAGTCGGCTGCAGATAAGCCCTTAATTCCCAAAAGAAAAGTCACAGTTGGTGGGGGGTGGGTGTGTGTAGACTAGGCTATTAGGGGATTGCCTGTCTTCCATCTGGGTTTTAGATGTTTTTGTTTGGATGATCAATGAGATTTTTCTGATTTTCTTTCATATCTGACTCCCCTAATTCCATCCCATAATACTTATTTTTACAGATTGTGTATTTCCCAACAATAAAACACACATTTTACATCAAAACATACAGATTTATTTATTTATTCTTTACTTAACCAGGACAGATGAAAGAAACCGAATTTTCAAGGGAGTCCCGTAGAGATACATACCTCACAACTCCACAGAAGGACTCGTGCTTCATAAACAGACCAGTTCCAGATCTGCATCATTTTCCATCCCGGGCCATAACGTCATCCGTGGTTTGCTGCTGCAGTCACATGACTTCTCCTCCTCACCCCTCGTGCACGGTTCTCCTCACGTGCAGAGACGGTGGGAGGGGGCTTGTTCTGAGCCAAAAGCACAGCATCTGTCTCTGCTCAGCTCACCTCCGTTCCCCCAGACGAATCGATCAGAGTCCTTTAATGCCGTTGGGATCATTTATGGCAAACTGAGAATTGCTGCACCCTGTGGTGTAAAAAATAAAATAACACAATAAAATAACACGGTTTTGTGAAAACGCACAAAAAAAGAGAAAACAATCGACGATTAGTTTGAGTCCCAATCCTCCTAAGTGACTGTGAGCTCTAATGTTTTTCCAGCGAAAAGATTGTGTGTGTGTGTGTGTGTGTGTGTGTGTGTGTGTGTGTGTGTGTGTGTGTCATGTTGTCCAAAAGACATGATGGTATGACAAAGATCAAGACTAGTGAGCGAGATCGTCGCTCTCATGAACACAAACATCTTGACTCTGTCACGGAGAAAAGAGCCTCTGTCCGGTCCCTGAATGCTCTCACTCGCATTCCAGAAAAGGACGTGTTGTTGTTCTGCCTCCGCGGGAAGTACGATTATTCAGGGAAACAAAGTGTTGGGCATAAATAAACACAGCCCCTTGTGATAAGTGCTTTAAAGTTTGGTAACAATGTCCAGAATATTTTTTCTGAAGATGTTTGTTTTTCTGAGCACATCATTGTGTTCGGTTCACTCCCCCGATGTTTGCTTTTGTTTATAACCTTTGTCAGGAACAAACACCACTGGTCACATTTTTTATGCAAATGTCAGTGAAAAATGTGCAACAGTCATATTAATAATAATAATTTTCATGTCTAAAAGTTACATTTATTCATTAAGTGCTATTATTTTTCAGTCACGGGGTGTTCTCTCTTTTTGTATTGTGCTCATGTAATTTGAGGTACTTTCTACATTAACGGCTGGATTTTAACATCAAAACTTGACACATTTGAATATTTTTTGTTGGTGTTTTAATACGTTTTTCATAATAATCAAACTTTCTCTTTTTGTTTCGTTCAGGTGCTCACTAAAGGTTTTGGATTCCACCTCCGAGACCTTTGCAACACGACGCCGTTGGAAGAGTTTGTTCACATTTCTGACCATAACGTGTCCCGGTTAACTCAAGATATAATATGCAAGTCATCGGCTGACTGGCTGAACGAGGCCCAGACCCACTTCCTCTCCAATCTGGACTTTCTAAAGCCGATTCGGGTGAGTCTGGAGGGTTTACAGCCTTGCATTCATTTTGAAATCTCCCTCAGAGCTATAAAATAATCCTGTTTTGTCTCCAAATTGAGTCATTTATTTCAAATAAACAAATTTTCACCTCTCTCTAAAATTGTTTATGTTGCATTTTCTCTCCAGTTTCCCTCTTTGTCTGAATTGGCATGGTGTTTTGTCTGAACACATGTTCCTGGATCGTTTTCCTCTTTCCTTTAACATGTGACCCAAATATGAGTCTCATTACCAAAAGTTTTACCTGAAAAACATTAAATGCTCTTTTTTATAGTTATTTTCATCTGAATGAAAATCAGATGAATGATTTTCTACATCTGAATTACATCTGAATTACATCTGGTTACATCTGAATGAGGGAAAGACAGAGCTCATTGTTTTTCACCCCAACAGCAGGAATGTGGATCGTTATGCTGATCTTGGCCCTCTTTCTCCGTACTCAAAACCAGTTGTTACCAGTTTGGCGGTGAAACTTGATGTAGGACTTAAATTTGATGCTCACATCAATTCTGTGGTCCGGTCCAGTTTCTTTCACCTGAGACGCCTTGCTAAAATCAAGCCTATGCTGTCGAGAGCCCACCTGGAGCGGGTACTGCATGCCTTTGTAATTTCTCGGCTTGACTACTGCAACTCTCTCTACGCAGGGTTGTGTCAGTCAACACTGCGTCGCCTACAGGTTGTGCAGAACAGCGCTGCCAGGTTCCTGACTGGGACCAGGAAACGGGACCACATCAGTCCGGTTCTGGCCTCTCTGCACTGGCTTCCGATTTGCTATCGCTCACAATTCAAAATACTCGTCTTTGTTTATCATTTCTTCCAGGGTGGTGCTCCCCCCTATCTGGCCACACTCCTGAACAGACATTCCCCATCACGCGCTCTGCGCTCCTCTGACCAAGGCCTGCTCGCTGTCCCTCGGTCTAGGTGTCGTACCCGTGGGGACCGGGCTTTCTCAGTCCTAGCACCGTCACTCTGGAACCAGTTGCCACCCTCAGTTAGGCTGTCCCCTTCTCTGCCAGTCTTTAAGAATCACCTAAAAACACACCTCCTCCGCTTGGCGTTTCCAGAACATGTCTGATTTTGGCCCTCTATTATGTTGAATCCATTCCACAGTTTTCATTGGTACACTCAATCCATCCACTCAATCCAAATGTGTTTCACACATTTGTATTTTACCAGAATGTTTCATCTATCTTGTTATTTCCATTTTGTATTTTGTAATTTGAATTTCTTTTATTGTTGATTTATTCAGTATATTTACATACAACTGTACCATGTTCAGCGCTTTGGGCTTCCTGACAGGGTTGCGGAAGGCGCTTTATAAATAAAGCTTTGATTGATTGATTGATTTTTCTTTTGTCACTTTGCCTCCTCAGAGGGATGAAAGTGGGGTCATGTTCCTCTTACTTACTCATTTGAGGAGATTTGGCTCATCTGGGATTATCCTAAAACACATGTTATTCCCAAAACAAGTCCAAGTGATGCCATAGTGAATTTTTTTTCTATGCATCAAGAAAATAGCTGAGTTCATCTCATCTTTCCCTGCACGTAAAACCAAAGAGGAGTAATAAATCATGAGGACGTGAAAAAAGTGGGTTCGGGGTTAAAACACAGACCATAAAAGTCTTTATTTCCTAGAGGACTGCTTGTTTTCAGTGACACTTTTATCAAAAATCAGACATTCCAGCTGCTGACAGCTTACTGTGAGCGATGACAACACACACACACACACACACGCCGGTGTGATCGTGTCACAGTGTGACGAATAGCAGCAGAGGACGTCAAAGCCTCTTTGGCTCTGCGTTTGTTTCTTTTATCCTTTAACTTGTTTGTTCCTTTATCGTTTTTATCTTTTTTAGCTCACCTCGGTCTCTTCTTTATCACAGCCTGTTTTTAACCTCACACCTTTCTCTGGACTGTGTGATAAACCTTCTAACTGAACTAATCAGACACATGAAAGAAAACTCCACCTTTGAAGATGTTTTCTGTGATTCCTGACACAAACCATAAACTCTCTGTAATGTAAGGATCTTGTTTCATTTAACAGAGGGACGTGAAGGCGGACCCTAAGGTTGTTCAAGAAGTCTCCGCTGCAACCGACAACCTCCTGGAGAACCTGGGAGGGATCGCTGTGGAGGTAATCCAAACACACTCCTGAACTGAGAACATAAACACACATATGGAACAGCACAAACACACTGATTTAAGTTCTTTAATTTCAGTTAAGATGACAAATTATAATTGTTATTTTTCTATATTTCTATTGGCAACAGCGTATTCTATATTAGCTAAAAATAGATTGTGACGTAACGTCGCAATGCATTGTGGGATGTAGCCCTAGACAAACACGTGTGTATTTTGCATGGGTGCCTATTGCTGGGTTTCACATGACGTTGCATCTACGTTGCCAAGTGCAGATGGGGGTCCGGAAGTAGCCGGCGCTACTCGAAACGCTATTTGCTTTGGTGACTGAGCGTTAAAATGCCGAAATTCTATGCGGTCTGATGAACACATGAGGGTTTTACATTTTTCTTTAATAAGTTACTGGAGTTGGAGCTGATTTTTGGTCAAATGGCAGCTGATTCCATCTGTGTGCAGCATAGTAGCTAAAAGCATCTTCACCCTGCTTGGTTCTGACCCGGGGTTCTACCAGCTGATCTGCCCTGCTGGGCGTAAATACAGAAAGGAGATCCAACACGTATTTTGCCATTGAGCGATTTATAAACTAGTAGAAGCACTTTGAAATGGATTCTTAAAGAAAAGTTACTTGAGTCCTGAGTCATGAGAAACTGAGTATAAAAGTTTAAATGTGATGTTTTTAATGAAGTCTGTGCTTTTACATTGGTATATGCAGTTTGTTTGTCTAGCATTAGCACCCAGCACCACGTACCTAGTGACGTCAACTGTAGAATACGCTATTGATAAAAATGTGTCTTCAACCTTTTCTTAACAATCGAGTCATGGAGCCTAACTAACATCAAGAGGATTCCAAAGTTCGGGTATCAAGATAGAAAAAGTCTGATCCCTCTTGATTTCAGTCGAGCTGTCGGCACTTCCAGCTGAATGAAGGCCCGTGACAGATTACAAATCCCAGTAGAAATGGTTTACACTCTGCAGCAGATATACATTTCCTTCGAGGCTAAATCAACACAAACGCTCTGTTCGCTGGTAGGAGAAACGCCTGACTCGGTGAACCACCAGGTGCACCATCCTCTTTATTTCACGTATGCAAACACAAAAGTGTCACGTGTACACATATGGCTGACCTCAGCTAGTGTAACTGGGCCTGAGCTGCTGGAATGCAGTGAGAAAGAACAGAAGCAGCATTTGGCCGTGCACACACAACCCCCTTTCACTCAGGCTCAAGCTTTTTGCTGATGTGGCACAACATTAAAAACCAGCTGTGTGTGTGTGTGTGTGTGTGTGTGTGTGTGTGTGTGTGTGTGTGTGTGTGTGTGTGTGTGTGTGTGTGTGTGTGTGGTGGAGGGGGTGCATGTTTTACTTCCTGTCTCAGCAGCTGTGAGATACAGCAACTTGTTTTCCTGCTATTTCTAACTAAAGTGTTGCAACTCTGAGCCTTGTTGTTGCATTGTGAGTGTGTGAGAGGGCAGTGATGAACTAACATGAAGCAAATTTAACAACTAAATCAGAAAGAAGGAAAACTTGAACCACCCTTGCACTATTGACGGGTTATTGACATCTGAGGTTTGCAATGGCAGCACACTGTGAAATCAAGCGACAGCTGGCCAAAAACCACTGATATTTAGTTGCTAACAAAATGCAGCTGTTTGAAATGTTGTCCAAGCCTCGTAGCTACGAGGAAACAAAAAGAACCACAGTCTCTATGTTCCTGCAAAATAGTATTTTAGACGTTTCTTATTTTCAGTTATGGGAGAAGCCGTGGATGAAAGAGAAATATAAAGAAGCACTAGTTTTAATAAAGAATGTCTTGGAAAAGTTCAGGAGCCAATGAACCCAGGTAAAAGTACTTGATGGTTCTATTAACCCGCCCACTGTCTTTACGGGTTTATCCCTTGAGGTCCACGTGGCGGGGGTGAGGTGGTGCTTACCCCTCGCCCCTGCCACGTGGACCCAAGGGATAAACCGTCAACCCTGCTCAATGGTCAACTTTCCTCGCGGGGTCACACCCATTAGGGCAGTGGGAGGGTTAAAAGTAAGTTACGTAGCACAGAAAGTATCACAAAGTGCTTTACATAGATCAAAAACAAAATCATAATGATCTTTAACAAAACATAAATAAATAAATAAATAATAAAGTCATACAGTTTTAAAATGATCATAAAACAAATGAAAGATTATTACTAATTTGAGTAAAAATAAAAAAAGGTAAAGACTGCGTAAATAATAATAAAAATAAAAGGGAAACATTTATATTATTAGATGGATTCAACATTAATGAAGTCAGTTTGTTGTTGGACAAAACCGCTTTTGAATTCATTTGAATTTATTCATTTCTGCTGTGTTCAGTTGATCTTGGGCATTTTAAGGAAAGTCTGATCCCTCAGCATTTTCTGACATTCACCTACGCCACCCCATGTGTTTCTATAGTGTGAAGCGATTTTGTTAACAGCAACTGCTGGAAAAAGTCTTCATCAAAATGTTTGCTCACACGCTCTGGAGCTCTTATGTGCTTTATCTTCTGCAATGAGCAATGGCAGACAAACAAAGTTTATTATTGTCTGTAATGTACTGATAAACATCAGACTTTCATATATATTAGATGCATTACACACAACTGAAGTAGTTCAAGCATTTTATTGTTTCTAATATTGATGATTTTGGCGTACAGCTCATGAAAACCCAAAATTCCTATCTCAGAAAATTTGCATATTTCATCCGACCAATAAAAAAAAGTGTTTTTAATACAAAAAAGTCAACCTTCAAATAATTATGTTCAGTTATGCACTCAATACTTGGTCGGGAATCCTTTTGCAGAAATGACCGCTTCAATGCGGCGTGGCATGGAGGCCATCAGCCTGTGGCACTGCTGAGGTGTTATGGAGGCCCAGGATGCTTCGATAGCGGCCTTAAGCTCATCCAGAGTGTTGGGTCTTGAGTCTCTCAACTTTCTCTTCACAATATACCACAGACTGTCTGTGGGGTTCAGGTCAGGAGAGTTGGCAGGCCAATTGAGCACAGTAATACCATGGTCAGTGAACCATTTACCAGTGGTTTTGGCACTGTGAGCAGGTGCCAGGTCGTGCTGAAAAATGAAATCTTCATCTCCATAAAGCTTTTCAGCAGATGGGAGCATGAAGTGCTCCAAAATCTCCTGATAGCTAGCTGCATTGACCCTGCCCTTGATCAAACACAGTGGACCAACACCAGCAGCTGACATGGCACCCCAGACCATCACTGACTGTGGGTATTTGACATTGGACTTCAGGCATGTTGGCATTTCCCTCTGCCCAGTCTTCCTCCAGACTCTGGCACCTTGATTTCTGAAGGACGTGCAAAATTAGCTTTCTTCCGAAAAAAGTACTTTGGACCAGTGCGCAACAGTCCAGCGCTGCTTCTCTGTAGTCCAGGTCAGGCGCTTCTGCCGCTGTTTCTGGTTCAGAAGTGGCTTGACCTGGGGAATGCGGCACCTGTAGCCCATTTCCTGCACACGCCTGTACACGGTGGCTCTGGATGTTTCTACTCCAGACTCAGTCCACTGCTTACGCAGGTCCCCCAAGAATCGGTCCTTCTCCACAATTTTCCTCGGGGTCTGGTCACCTCTTCTCGTTGTGCAGCGTTTTCTGCCACACTTTTTCCTTTCCACAGACTTCCCACTGAGGTGCCTTGATACAGCACTCTGGGAACAGCCTATTCGCTCAGAAACTTCTTTCTGTGTCTTGCCCTCTTGCTTGAGGGTGTCAATGATGGCCTTCTGGACATCAGTCAGGTCGGCAGTCTTACCCATGATTGCGGTTTTGAGTGATGAACCAGGCTGGGAGGTTTTAAAAGCCTCAGGAATCTTTTGCAGGTGTTTAGAGTTAATTAGTTGATTCAGATGATTAGGTCAGTAGCTCGTTTAGAGAACCTTTTCATGTTATGCACATTTTTTGAGATAGGAATTTTGGGTTTTCATGAGCTGTATGCCCAAATCATCAATATTAGAAACAGTAAAAGGTTTGAACTACTTCAGTTGTGTGTAATGAATCTAATATATATGCAAGTCTAATGTTTATCAGTACATTACAGAAAATAATGAACTTTATTTTAATATGCTTTTGTTAGGAGGACCTGTGTGTGTGTGTGTGTATATATATATAATTATATATATATTTTTTTTTTTACAAAAATAATGCATTCAGTGGATCATTGAGCTTGTGATCTCACACACTCATGTTAATTAGTTGATGTTTAGCCCTTAAGCTGCACTGGTCTAAATAGCTGTGTGCTCTAGCAGAAACGTGAACTCCAGTAACCTCATACGAGCTCCACTGTGAGGATGCTAACCAACAGCCTTCTTCTGCCTGCCTGTCTTTGTAAATGTATACATGTTAGTGTTTTAAGTGTGTGTCCAGGTGTGTGCACCTGTATGCATGTAACACTAGGTGTGTTTTTCACCCAGACAACTGGGTTTTAAATCCTCACCTGATTCCTCACCTCTGTTTGAGCGTTTGACTGTTATGCTATGAGGAAATGCTTTTCCTTTTTTATAATAATGAGGGTGAAGCCACATTTACAGACAACATAGCTACACAGCGTGAGACCTTCTCTGGTGTTACAAAGCCCCTTATGTTCTATATACATGCAAAACCAGCAGTTATCTATGCCAGATCCTCCTGAACGAGCAGGAAACGGTGACACAAGAATGGTAGCTGCAGGCTCAGCTGCAGAGAGATCTCAGATGCTGCAAAGCTTCTAGTCTCACTGTCTCTTTGTTGAATGTTTTGTTGACTGGTTGATGCTCATTAGGCAGAATTCTGTGAAACTGACATCAGTGGCTTAAATGTGTGTGTGTGTGTGTGTGTGTGTGTGTGTGTGTGTGTGTGTGTGTGTGTGTGTGTGTGTGTGTGTGTGTGTGTGTGTGTGTGTGTGTGTGTGTGTGTGTGTGTGTGTGTGTGTATGTGAATGTCAGGACAATGACGCTTCACTTGTGGAGCCTGCAGACGCTTGCTAGTCAAAACGACCGATAGTAACCTCTCTTTGTTCTCATACCTGCTCCTGTTTTCAGCGCTCCCCTCCTCCGCCTTTTAACTGTTGTCACACATGCAAATATCCCTTTATTTCTTTTCCTTCCCTCCTTTTCCTCATCTTGCTGGGGAAAAACTTTAACTTCCCCAGCCTCCATCCTTCTCCTACAATTACTGTAAGCCCGATTACCCTCAGAAACAATTACCCCCCTCTACTTTACCCTTTTTTTTGTTTTATTTTCATTTAAAAAAGTCCTCCTTTTTGTTCCTTCCCTGTCACGGGTTGGTGCCATCATTGACCGGTTCGGAAACCTCATCACAGAATCTTGTGGAGACTTGTCTCTTGACCTACAGTAACCTCGGTGTGAACCATTATGAACTCCCTGCTTTGATGATGTAACGACGCACATGACTGCTGACAAAACAACACGGCACCTCTGGTTGTCACTGAGAAAATAGCAGCTTGACAAAAAACTCATGTTGTTCTGTAATTGGGACAAAAGCGGCGACAGAGCTGTGCCAAAGCTAGACAAAGAAATCGATTCAAACACAAAGTCTGCTTGGGCGTTCATTTCAAAATCCCCAAAGAAAGAGAAGACTTGTGTAGGGATTTAGTCCTAACCCAAATCATTTTACATTTTAAATATGTTCGTGTCCTTTAGAACTGATTGAGGCTGAATAATTAAGTCAAGGGGCAACAGCAAGTGTGCTGAAGGGTGAAGTAGATCCACCGACATACGGTTGCTGTCAAATGAGCGTACTCGTGCCTCGTGTTACAGGCTGTATAACCTGTCCTCGTGATAGAGATGATAAACACGCAGACCCCTCTCACACACACTCACACGTCTGGAACCAGCAGTTAAATTTATCTCTATCAGGCAGACGGCGAAGTGCCGAGTGTCTCCACCCACTGAGCAGAGCTTGACTATCGTGCTTAGAATACTGCCGGCGGTGGAGACGATGTCAGTTTCAGCTATGTTGTAACAAATGATCCCCGTTCAAAATGTGGAAGCTTTATTTTCACTTCTCAGATTATGGGTAGCAACGCTGTGTGACAACGAGACGTATGAGATGTCCCGAAGGAAGTGTAATGTGCCAAAAACACGTGAACACATGCACTAAGCGCACTCGGACGGACCATGTTGGGCCACGCCGTTTTGGTCTGAAATCAGTCGTCTTCCTCCGAATGTATAAGCACGCCTCAAAACAAGTGGATCAGCATTCTCATTATTTAAATATAGAACATTAAAGATGCAATATATACAACTCCAAGTATCTATTTTAACAAACCAGAAATGATTACCGGGTGCAATTTTATCTCCCAACAGCTCGCCAGTATGAAGAGTTGGAAGGAAATGCGAAAGGAGATCCTGTATCTGACCGCCAATTCCACCGGGTCTCCAAAGCAGGTCTACGAGGCCGTTTCGCGTATAGTCTGTGGACACCCAGAGGGAGGCGGCCTCAAAATCAAGTCCCTAAACTGGTACGAAGATAACAACTATAAAGCCCTGTTTGGTCACCACGGCAACGATAGTGACAGTGACCCAGTCTCCACTTACGACAACTCTTCCAGTAAGCATCCAAGCCTTAAGTTAAACGAAGCATTTACAGTTTCTTTTCCAGAGCGAACGCTCAAACTCGTTTTACATTCTAGCTCCTTATTGTAACAACTTGATGAAGAACCTCGAGTCCAGCCCCATCTCCAGGATGATCTGGAGAGCTCTGAAGCCTCTTCTCATGGGGAAGATCTTGTACACCCCAGATACTCCAGCAACACAGAGGATCATCCACGAGGTACAAGAGACCCATCGCAACTACAGCTAGAAGCTAAACGTCGCAACCCAAAAGCACTGAACGCTCATCTCTGTTTTCTAGGTTAATAAGACCTTCCAGGAGTTGGGTGTTCTGAGGGACCTGGGCGGGATGTGGGAGGAAGTGAGACCCAAGTTTTGGAACTTCATGGAGAATAGTGAGGAAATGGACTTGGTCAGGGTAAGTGAAGCGCTGACATCATTTCTGTAACAACCGTGCTGTTTTCTCGGAATACTTCCAGTTTGTATGGGAGGCTTACATCAGCGTAACTGCCCTAATTATACATCTGGATGCTTCAAAAAGATTTTAACTCTTGTTGAGTAAATGTAAGAATGATCAAAGTACTTAGATACGTGCAGAAAAAGAGCAAAGGTTTCCAAATTCTTTGAGTCAGTTATTAAACTTGGTCAGTTCCAGCAGATCAGGCGTGCCACCTTCTTGCTTTGTGACAGAACAAGCAGCATGAGACTTCATTTTCTGTGGTTTGTGTTTTTGTTGGCTGGATCATACCTTTCCTGGGTCTGACCACCGCTGCTCTTTTTTTTTAAATAAAATCTGCAGAAGCACCATCGCCACCTAGTGGTGTTGCTTTAAAAATGTTGCATCAATTGATTTTCAAAGGGTTTGCATCATTGCAAACATTGTTGGCATTTTCATGTTTATGCAGCTTTAGCTTGAATGTTTTATAGAACAACTTTGTCTGAAAAATGGGAAAATAGCAGAGAGATGATGAATTTAGGAAGAATCTTGAATATCTGAGCAACAGATTGCAGTAAATTAGGACTAAAGTTATAAAAAGAGGTATTATTAGGAGGCGCATGAGTCTGTGAAGGTCACAGAACCCGAAATAAGCCCCAGAGGAATGCGATAAAATTAAACTGGTTATTTTTTCATTGTTTGCATAGATTTAAAAGAAACTGTCCATGGTTAAACTGTAGGTTTGAGACCGATTTTATATAAATGTTTGAAATTAATCTAATAAGGAATAAAAATGATGCTTTTCTGCAGACCCTCCTTCGTAGCAACGCCAGTGCAACCTTCCTGAACATCCAGCTCAGTGACACAGAGTGGAGCGTGTCCGATGTGGCGCACTTTCTGTCCAAAGCCTCTGAGAGTTATCGACCCGCAGGCTCAGCGTACACCTGGAGAGATGTCTTCAATGAGACCGACCGGGCCATACGGACCATTTCACAGTTCATGGAGGTTAGTGTGCAGAAAATGTCCCAACAGTAAGAAATATAAAGCTTGTGAAGATGTTTTTATATAACTTACATGGCCAATAAACCCCCTTTTACACGGTTCTTTAGACAGCTAAAGGTTCTTTGTGCGAAAAGCAAAAGAAAGGAGAAACAGCTGGCTGTCGGTAAATAAACTCATGACCTCAGATCTCAGCACAGATGTTAAAAACCTTCAAATCAAATATTTTTGTGCTTTCTAAATTTGATTCATGACCGTGTGAAGTGGAAACGTCTTCTGTTTACGCTTATGTACTGTAAAAAGACCTGAGCCTCTGCAGTAAACCACCTCTTCTTCATTGGGAAATAATGTTTTACACTCCAGAGTTGTTTAAATGATGTTTCAGAGATAAAGTTCAAACATTTATGATCATGGATGATCTTTGTCATATTGTAATGTTTTTTGTTTGTTTATGATTCCTCTTAGTGTTCTATTCCTCCAGGCGAGAGTAACCATCAAAAAGGGCTTGAAGTCAATAATTTATCTATCCCTCTCATAGTTGATCTGCTTAGACTGATTTCTGTCCACACAGTAAATGACCCACTAACCCACTGGCTGTCTTTGTTCTTCGAGGAGATTATATAAAGTTTGTAAATTGATTTTTGTCGCGCTAAAAATGATGTCAAGGTCTTAAATGACTGTAAAACTGCAGTGATGAAGCTGTTTACAGTCTTTTATCGTTAGAATAGAGTTCAGTTTAGTTGATTTCAGATAAACATGTGAGAGGTTCATCTGTGGGAGGTCGCGTACCGACATCAGATAAACAACTTCAGAGCAGACACTCGGTATCTCCCAGGGCTCATGAGAGGTTTGTTTTGTTTAAAGGGTAAAAGTTTAGCTTCTAATAATAGTTGTGCGAAACATTGCTAAAATTTAAGAGGTTTTTTTTAATGACTTTTGATCAGTAATCCTGAAAAATGTTTTTATTTTGGAGATTTAGACCTGTATGTATTTTATTTTTCTGTGGATTCTGTTTTCTGTCTTCCGTCGTGTAACAGACACTGAAGCATTCCCGTAACCCACTCATTCTTCTTCTTCAGTGTGTGAACCTTGACAAGCTGGAACCAGTAGCTAATGAGGAACGCCTGGTCAACAAGTCCATGGGCCTGCTGGACAACCAGAAGTTCTGGGCTGGGATAGTGTTTCCCGACATCGCGCGTGACAACAGCACAGATTTGCCGCCCAACGTCAACTACAAAATCCGGATGGACATTGATAACGTGGAGAGGACCAACAAGATCAAAGACGGGTGGGTGGTTGTGTTTACCAGAAAAACACGACGTGCTGATTTCCAAGTGTTTTTGGACTCATTTTATATTTTGATCTGCAGGTATTGGGACCCTGGTCCCAGGGCGGACCCTTTCGAAGACCTTCGATACATCTGGGGCGGATTTTCTTACCTGCAGGACGTCATCGAACAAGGAATCGTCCGAGCCATCACCGGCACCAAGGAGAAGACTGGAATCTACATCCAGCAGATGCCTTATCCCTGCTACGTGGATGACGTGTAAGCGGCTGCTGTGTGGACAGTAAATGAGTTCAACTTGGCGGCAGATGTTTAACAGTGAATTCCTGTTTTCTTAGATTCTTGCGTGTGATGAGCAGGTCAATGCCGCTCTTCATGACTTTGGCGTGGATGTACTCGGTGGCCATCATCATCAAGGGCGTCGTGTACGAGAAGGAGGCGCGACTGAAGGAGACCATGAGGATCATGGGACTTAACAATGGCATCCTGTGGCTGAGCTGGTTCATCAGCAGTTTAATCCCTCTGCTGATCAGCGCAGGCTTGTTGGTGATGTTGCTGAAGGTTGGTGTTGACACAAACACACACGTCACAAACAGAGTTGCAGTTTGATTGTGGAAAAACAAATGAAATCATTCTGTTTTCTCTCTTTTTTTTTGCCTCCCCCTCAGATGGGCAACCTGTTGCCGTACAGTGACTCTGGCGTTGTGTTTCTTTTCCTGGGATCTTTCGGCGTAGTAACCATCATGCAGTGCTTTCTCATCAGCACCTTATTTTCTCGAGCCAATCTGGCGGCGGCTTGCGGAGGCATCATATACTTCACTCTTTATCTGCCTTATGTTCTGTGTGTTGCCTGGCAGGACTACGTGGGCTTTGGCGCCAAAGTCATAGTCGTGAGTCGAGATTTAATTTAGCATTTGTCAGTACTCGTAAATCTTGGGTTCTCATGCATTAAACTATTGATTATGTTTTTCCCAGAGTCTACTATCTCCTGTGGCTTTTGGCTTTGGATGCGAGTACTTTGCCCTGTTTGAGGAGCAAGGCGTGGGAATCCAGTGGTCGAACTTACTGGCAAGCCCTTTGGAGGAGGACAGCTACAACCTGACCACCTCTATCTGCCTCATGCTGTTGGATGCTGTGTTGTATGGAATAATGACCTGGTACATCGAAGCGGTGTTTCCTGGTGAGTCGTGCAGAATCTTCAGCTAAAATGTGTTTTGCTACTGTATAGTGCACGGGCATAATAATTAAATTTAAATTATTTTTGTTACAGGTCAGTACGGGATCCCCAGGCCCTGGTATTTCCCCTTCACAAGGACCTATTGGTGTGGAGAGAAAGAAAACGATAAAATCAACGCTCCTCTGTCGAAAAAGAGCAACGCTGAGGGTAAAAACTACAAATGCGAATACATTTTGTACACTGGCTTTCCACTGGATGCGTAAGCAACACGTAACATAAATTACTCGTAAAGTAATTGGCGTGTTTTCCCCGCGAGCTCAGAGATGCGTCCCTTCCCAGACGCCAAACGCTAGCCCCTTTAGGTCACCAAATCACTGGAGAATTGCAAGATCACTCGTGATTTCAGCAGTCCACGTGAAAACAACCAAAGAGAAAGGTAGTGGCAGCATAGGCGTGTTACCATTCTTGGAACTTCAGGGTCAATTCTGGGAGGGGGAAACTAAGCTCCGTTTGGTTATGGCGCTCTGTGAAACAACAAAGCCCCCTGAATTACGTTGTTGTGGGGAAGTCTGCCATGTTTTCTGGTGTCGGGAGTTTAGTAGCAACAATTATAAAATCCTGGAAAACAGCCAATCGGCTGGCCTGGTCAAGTGGAGACACGCGCATGCCGGGAAGTTCCTGTAAATTCACCCTGAAGTTCCGGAACTGGAAACGCACCTCATGTATCCGAAGGTTCTGTGGTTTATTTTCTGTTCTGTGTACCTCGGCCAAGGAGGCGTCGCAGGTGATGTTGTATATTTTTTCTACTAGCAACTGGAAATCTGCGCGTGTCATTTGTTTTGAAAGTTTTCTGGAAGTTTCACGTTTCTCCCAGGTTTGACTTCCTGCCTGGCCTGATCTGAACTGCTGAACTCGTCCAGTTCTGGAAGTGTAGCTCATTAAAAAAAAAAAAAAAAAAAGACCTGAAGCATAAATTTAGCTGAGCGACATGACAACACATCTGGGACACGTTCAAATCACGACACTAATTGTTGCTTACTACGTTTTGCGGACGTTATTCAAAGCTAACTCGTCCAGAGGAAAGGCGGGTTTATGTGTTGGTTCCTCCTTACTTACAAAGAGAAAGTTACTTCTGTTGCTTATCCCTACAACGTGCTTCTTGTCTTATCTACAGCTGTGTGCAGCGAGGAGGATCCCAGCCACATTAAACCAGGCGTTTACATAGAAAATCTGGTGAAGGTCTACAGCCATGGAAACAAGCTGGCCGTAGATGGACTGTCCCTGAAATTCTACGAAGGACAGATCACATCCTTCCTGGGCCACAATGGAGCTGGCAAGACCACAACCATGTAAGACGACTAGTATATTTATAAACATGCTTCGCTTATATCTAACAAACCAGAGTCAAAAACCTTAATAAACAACCAGACAGTGACTGAGTTGTGTTTCTAACAGGTCCATCCTAACGGGCTTGTTCCCACCCACATCTGGGACTGCTTACATCCTCGGTAAGGACATCCGCTCTGAGCTCAGCAACATCCGACAGAACCTGGGTGTCTGCCCCCAGCACAACGTGCTTTTCAGCATGTGCGTATGCAACGTCGTCATCAAAACAAACGTACACTCGCAGCGTGTTGTGTTGATGTATTTATGTGGCTTGTCGTGAACCAGGCTGACGGTGGAGGAGCACATCTGGTTCTACGCTCGCCTGAAGGGGCTTCCCGAGGAGACGGTGAAAGCTGAAATGGAACAAATAGTAAACGACGTGGGCCTGCCACACAAACGACGGTCCCGCACGAGCACTCTGTCGGGTTAGCCCCTTTTTTTAGGATTTTGAGAAACATAATTATTCCTGGAGAGTATTTTTCTGACTTTGTTTGTTTGTTCCAGGTGGGATGCAGAGGAAGCTGTCGGTGGCTCTGGCTTTTGTCGGAGGTTCAAAGGTGGTGATCTTGGATGAGCCTACTGCTGGTGTTGATCCGTATGCACGCAGAGGAATCTGGGATTTGCTTCTCAAATACAGACAAGGTAAATAAAGGTGATATTTCAAATTAGAAATAAAATTAACTTATTGTTGCAAGTGAGGCTGAAAATATTTGTGCTCATCAGGGCGCACCATCATCCTGTCCACTCATCACATGGATGAGGCTGACATCCTGGGCGACCGGATCGCCATCATTTCCCACGGGAAGCTGCGCTGTGTGGGATCCTCGCTGTTCCTGAAGACGCACCTGGGCACAGGCTACTACTTGACTCTGGTCAAGAGAGACTACGACTCGTCCCTTCAGTCCTGCAGGAACTCTGCCAGCACGGTCTCCTACAGCAAGAAAACAGAGAAGGTAAGAAGCGTATAAACACTAAGAGAATATTGGGTTTTCTTCTGATGAGTCGTCATCATCAGATCGACTGAGTTTCCTGTTTTCGTCCAGGAGGACAGTGTGTCAGAGAGCAGCTCAGACGCAGGTCTGGGCAGCGAACCAGAAAGTGAAACCACCACCATTGGTAGGAACCCTTGAGCCCTTCATGCCTTCAGGGAAACCTTTAGAAGCACGTCCAGACATTAACTTCTTTGATTTTTTTTTTTTTTCTCCTGCAGATGTCTCCCTCATCTCCGGTGTGATTTTCAAGCACGTCTCAGAGGCACGCCTGGTGGAGGATGTCGGCCATGAGCTCACTTACGTCTTACCCTACCAGTCAGCCAAGGACGGAGCCTTCGTCGAGCTCTTCCATGAGCTCGATGACCGACTGACAGATCTGGGAATTTCAAGTTACGGAATATCTGATACCACCTTAGAAGAAGTAAGGATTCCTGCATTTTAATGATTTACTGGGATGTCTAAAAAAACCTGTTTTTATTTGTTGTTTTTGTTTACCTAAAGTGATGTCACTCGTCCAATTTTCTTTCCTCTAATGTTGCAGATTTTCCTAAAAGTGGCAGAAGACAGTGGAGTGGACTCTGTTGGGCTTTCTGGTGAGAATGGGAATATTTTTAGTACAATGATGACTCAGGATGAGTCACTGATATTTTTCAGGTGTAAATGGTAAATGCTAAGATGCTCTTAGACTGAGAAAGTAGCTGAAAACACAGGAGTAGAGGAACTACGTTTGATGAATGGCTTTCCCTGTTGCTGCAGACGGAGTGGTCCCGACCAGAACTCGTCGCCGCCGCCACGCGTTTGGGGACCACCAAAGCTGCCTGAAGCCCTTCACCGAGGATGACTTTGACTTTAACGACTCTGAAGGCGACCCAGGTAGAAAATTACCCACCAGAATTACCCACCATACAGTGCAATGACAGCAACAAACTGCAGCTGTTATGAAAGTCGAGCACACACTCGTCGTGTTTCCTCACTCTGGTTCCTGGTGTCCAGAATCTCGTGAGACCGACTGGCTCGGGGGAACAGATGGAAAAGGTTCATCCCAGGTGAAAGGCTGGAGTCTGAAGAGACAGCAGTTTGTTGCGTTGCTGTGGAAACGATTCCTCTACGCTCGCCGCTCCAGGAAAGGCTTCTTCGCTCAGGTGTGCTGTTGAATATTTGTTTAAAAGTCTGTTATTGTCTCTTATTCAAGGTTTTTTTCTAAGATTCATCTTCACACTGAAGGGAATCATTTATGTGCAGATATTAAAATCAATTCAATTCAAAAATACTTTATTAATCCCAGAGGGAAATTGATTGCTGTAGTAGCTCAGAATAATAGTCGTCAAAGAGCAGCTTTACTCAGCTTCCTGTCCATCTCTGACACACCCGACAACTGCAGAGTCATCTGAGTGTTTCTGTAGATGACAGGTCTCTGATTTGTACTGGAAGTCTGAGGTGTACAGGGTGAAAAGGAATGGTGAGAGTACAGTCCCCTGTGGTGCTCCAATGTTACTGATCGCCTGGTTTGATGTGCAGTTCTTCAGCCTCACAAACTGTGGTCTGTTTGTCAGGTAGTCTTTAATCCAGGCGATAGTTGAGGCCCCCCACCTGTGTCTTCTGGAGTTTCTGGCAAAGTACATCAGGCTGGATTGTGTTAAATGCACTGGAGACATCAAAGAACGTGACCCTCACAGTGCTGCCTGCTTTGTCCAGATGACAGTGGATTGGTTGAAGCAGCTGGATGATGGCATCTTCAACTCCAACTCCATGGCGATAAGCAAACTGCAGCGGGTCCTGATATGTTCTAGTTTGCTTATTCAGGTGGACCAACAGGAGTCTCTCCAGGACCTTCATGATGTGGGATGTCAGGGCAACCGGTCTGTAGTCGTCATTGACTGATGGGCGAGTTTTCTTTGGAACTGGAACAAGGCAGGATGTCTTCCACAGGACTGGAACCTTCACCTGGGCCAGGCTGAGGTTGAAGAGGTGCTGCAGAATCCCACAGAGCTGCTCTGCACAGGCCTTCAGTACTCTGGGGCTGACACCATCTGGACCTGCAGCCTTGTTCCTGTTCAGTCTCTCCAGCTGCCTCTTCACCTGACTTCTAGAGACAGATAGGTGGGAGGGGGAGGTAAATGGGGCAGCAACATCTCCTGACTTGGTTGAAGACAGATTTATAGAACCAGAAGAGTCCATGACTGCGTTAGAGGACAAAAGAGCTGGCGTGTGACAGGAAAATGTTGGATCAGAGGAGGATGGGATGTCTGATTGGCTGGGGACAGGCGAGGAGGATGCTGGGTTTGTTCCTGAACTGAACCTATTGAAGAACTTGTTCAGTTCATTGGCTGTGTCCAGGCTGCCATCTGTGCAATCCTTCCTCTGCTTGAAGCCTGTGATCTTCTTCATCCCTGTTGTCCATCCAACCAGTTGCCACGTTTGTGTTTTTCAGATCGTTCTGCCAGCTGTGTTTGTATGCATCGCCCTTGTGTTCAGCCTCATCGTTCCTCCGTTTGGGAAGTATCCCAGTCTGGCGCTGCATCCCAGCATGTATGGAGAACAGTTCTCCTTCATCAGGTGAGACATCTTGTCTTTGATCCAGTTATTTAACTTTTAGCTGACTTTTACACAGAAATGACAATTTTAGAAATTAAAACTTCTCAAAGGAAATTCAAAATTATCGCCAATGAATTTTCCTTCATTATAAAATGATTGAGTTCATGTTTATTTTTGTAAAATTCCAACCATCACGTATCTGCGACGTGACGCGAATGTTTCTGTTAGACTTGGAAACAAGTGCTGTCATGTAATCAGATCCAGTTTTTGATGAATTATTAATTAATCCCTCTGAAGATTCATGTTTTAGCTGCATTTCTCTTTCACAGCTGTGTACTTTCTGCTAAACACATTGAATTGTGTGTTTATTTCAGTAATGACATTCCCGAGGATCCTCACACCAACAAGCTTCAGCGATCTCTGATAGAAAAACCCGGATTTGGAACACACTGCATGGAAGGAGCGCCCGTACCGTGAGTATAATTATAGATAAATATTACACTCTGTGGTCATTTTGCCCTAAACGTTGATTTGTGACGTCAGCTCTTCCCTGCCTGTGCTTCAGGGACACTCCCTGCACGGCTGTGGAGGATGAGTGGGCGATCCCAGAAGTCCCAGAAAGTGTGAGCGACCTATTCATCAAAGGCAACTGGACCATGGAGAACCCCTCTCCTCTGTGTGAGTGCAGCTGTGACAAACGCAAAAGGATGCTCCCCGAGTGTCCTGCTGGCGCCGGCGGACTTCCGCCACCACAGGTCAGCGGGACCCAACAGGTTCTAATCCCAAGTGTAACCGACTCTGAACACACGTTAAATGGTTGCTGTTTGTTTTTGCATCCAGATGAAGATCAGTGACACAGACACTCTGCAGAACCTCACCGGCAGAAACGTGTCGGATTATCTGGTTAAAACCTACGCTCAGATTATTGGCAAGAGGTAAAACTCGTTATTAATTTTATTCTGGTGTAAAAATTTCCACTCGTAGAGTTTATTAACGTGGTTTCCCCTCTTGCAGCCTGAAGAACAAGATTTGGGTGAACGAGTTCAGGTACATAATAAGACGCGAGGCATCATTTATTCATGAGTGGATCTGTCTCTGACCTTCTCTGATGTCTGTTCACTATCAGATATGGTGGATTCTCCCTGGGAGCCAGAAGTTCTGACGTTCTGGCTCACAAAGACGAGATCGATGAGGCGATAGTGCAGCTCAGGAGACGCTTCCATCTGGAAAGAGTGAGAGATGGGGTCATCTTTTTGGTCATCATGATGGATAATTACACAACTGTAGTTAACTTCAGGATGAAAGCTGACGAACAGGGACTTGTGATTGCAGCTGCAAATCTAGACTTAAATCTGAGTCCAAACAGTTTAAAATGTCCTCAAAAAGCTCTTCCTGCCTCCTCCTTCCTTCAGGGAACTGCATCTGATCGTTTCTTTCGCAGCCTCTCGGGTTTTATCCAAGGACTGGACACCAAGGATAACGTCAAGGTTAGCGCTAACACCGACACTCATGAATAAACGCCCCGGATGCATTTCTGCACAAAAACAGAACAGATATGCAGAAATGTTCAGACTTCTTACTCCTGTTGAAGAAAAATGAGGGTCTGAATCAGAGAAAAGTGGAAAATTCATATTATTTTTAGCGAATACTTAAGTTTTGACTTTCAGAAACATCTGATCTGAGCCTCTAATTCATTCTCACTGATCTTTAACAATCAACTTATCATATGTACCTTTTTTTCCTCCAGATCTGGTTCAACAACAAGGGCTGGCACAGCATCGGCTCCTTCCTGAATGTGATGAACAACGCCGTCCTTCGGTCGAGTCTCCCACCTGGAAAAGACCCCACAAAGTTTGGCATCACTGCCTACAACCACCCGCTGAACCTCACCAAGGAGCAGCTGTCGCAGGTTGCGTTGTGAGTATTACAGCCGTCATGGGAGATTTGCCTCGCCTATAAACGCCTCCTCTAATTACGATTGGTTCCCTCTCCAGGATGACGACATCCGTAGACGTGCTGGTGTCCATTTGCGTGATCTTTGCCATGTCCTTCGTCCCAGCCAGCTTTGTGGTTTTCCTCATCCAGGAGAGAGTGACCAAGGCCAAGCACATGCAGTTCATCAGCGGCGTGCAACCTTTCCTCTACTGGCTGGCCAACTTTGTCTGGGATATGGTAAGATATTTCCAAATCTGACAAACTCCTGATAAAAAAGGTCAAACATGCATGAGTGAATGATGAAGCTTACAGAATTCCCTTCCCTTCCAGTGCAACTACATCGTTCCAGCCACGCTGGTGATCATTATATTTGTGTGCTTCCAACAAGACGCCTACGTGTCCTCCACAAATCTGCCGGTGCTGGCTCTGCTGCTGTTGCTTTATGGGTAATTTGAACACTGTTTGGTCACTTTAATTGTTTATTTTTGTCAAATAATTGACATTAAAATGATATTTTATGTTGTCGTCCAGGTGGTCGATCACCCCTCTGATGTACCCAGCCTCCTTCTTCTTTAAGATCCCGAGCACCGCCTACGTGGTTCTAACGAGCGTCAACATACTGATCGGAATCAACGGCAGCGTGTCCACGTTTGTCCTGGAGCTGTTCGGGAGCAACGTGAGTAAACATTCGACACGGCAGACCGGATTTGCTCATCACAGTGTGCTAAAATAAAAATTCCTTTTGTTCCTCTCTCAGGAGATCGGCGGTATTAACGACATCTTGAAGAACGTGTTCCTCATTTTCCCCCACTTCTGCCTGGGTAGAGGTCTGATTGACATGGTGAAGAATCAGGCCATGGCGGATGCCTTGGAGAGATTTGGTGAGTTTATTTTAGTTTAAAGGAGAAAAAAAAGTCATGTAAAAAAAAAATGATGAAAATAACAATATTCCTGCTTACAGGTGAGAACCGGTTCCGCTCTCCCCTTGCCTGGGACATGGTGGGAAAGAACTTGTTTGCAATGGCCATAGAAGGTGTCATCTTCTTCTTCATCACTGTCCTCATTCAGTACCGCTTCTGCTTCAAGGCCAGGTTGGTAAAACAGCTTTAACTACATTACCCATGACCCACAGGTGTATTTATCTCTCTAATCCTCCTGTTAAATCTGAGAGCTGACTTCTCCCCCTCTCCCCGGGAACCCTTCAGGTCATCCACCAGCCACCTGAAGCCTATCGGAGAAGAAGATGAAGATGTAGCCAGAGAGCGACAGAGGATCCTGAGCGGCGCTGGGCAGTCGGACATTCTGGAGCTCAGAGAGCTCACCAAGATTTACAAGCGGAAACAGAAGCCGGCGGTGGATCGGCTGTGTGTCGGCATTCCTCCTGGAGAGGTAAACGCAAGCACAAAACACATAAGAATTTTTTTTTCTCTACAAATGAAGCCACTTTAATGTGAATAATTATGAATTTACTCATCTGTTTTTCATTTCCTGTAGTGTTTTGGTTTGCTGGGAGTGAACGGCGCAGGGAAAACCAGCACCTTTAAAATGCTGACTGGAGACTCGCTCGTCACCAGTGGTGAAGCCTACTTGGCGAGCAAGAGGTGATAAACCCAACAGGGAATGAATTTATCTGATTCGTTGTTAAATTGTGGCTTAAATAGAGGGTTTAAAGGACAAATAAAATGTTTTCTTTTATTTCAGTGTGACTACAGAGATAGATGAGGTGCATCAGAACATGGGCTACTGCCCTCAGTTTGATGCCATCAATGATCTTTTGACGGGAAGAGAACACCTGGAATTCTACGCCATCCTGAGAGGAGTACCTGAGAAGGAAGTCTGTGAGGTCGGCACGCACACACGAATGTTTTTTCAATTAGACTCATGGTGTCTAATTTAAACTGGACTTGTGTAAAGGAAACGGTTTGTCCACTAGGTGGCGGAGTGGGGCATCAAGAAACTGGGTTTGGTTAAATATGTGGACAAAGCAGCCGGCAGCTACAGCGGTGGAAACATGAGGAAACTCTCTACTGCCATTGCTCTCATAGGAGGACCTCCGGTCGTGTTTCTGGTTAGTCACACAAAACATCAAATACCACAACAGCAGGTTAGGTGTGCTTAAGCAGGAGCTGAGTGTCTGCTGTTATTGGTTAACAGGATGAACCAACTACAGGCATGGACCCCAAGGCACGCCGAGCCCTCTGGAACGCCATCTTAAGCATCATCAAAGAGGGACGATCTGTCGTTTTGACGTCTCACAGGTAAGACCAGGTTTCTCATCGCTTTAAACTTAAGTCCGGTTCACACAGCAGGACTTTTAAATAATCTGAAGATCTTCAAAACATGAGAGACCACACATGTGGTGATAAAAAGTCATGGATATACCAGTTCAGGTCCTACAGTGTGTGGTGTGTAGCAACCATCGACATATATATTGGACAATTCATTTCCATAGGCTCCAATAATAAGTTTTTAAGCCAAAATGGGAGGTGGCCACCGCCGCCATTTTGACCGTGTCACAGTTTCCGTCAAGCCCAGACAATTCCAAAAAAGGGAAGAGAGGTGGAGCTGAGGGTGGGCCTGTAAAGCTGGGATCAAATGACAACACTCGTCGAACTGAAGCGATGTAGCTACAAGCTAACTCAAAGCTAACGCAGAGGTGGGAGCTATGCTAACGGAGGTAGCAACCTAGCTACAACCGGAGTTAACTGTGCACAACACCAGAGCTTCTGAGTCACAGATACGCCGGGCTGACCGCTGGGTAAAACCGGGTGGAACACAGAGGTCTCCCGAGAGCTCCACAAGCCGGCAGCTGCGCAAGCAGCGCAACAGACAAGCGCCGCTGAGATCAGAGATGCGTTAAGCTGCCGACGGGGAGAACCAGGTGGAAAACATCGGTTTCCATCCGAGAGCTCCACAAGCCGGCAGCCCACGCAGCAGACAGGCGCCGTGGTGATCAGAGATGCGCCGAGATGCAAGGAGAGGAGAACCGGGTGGAACACAGAGGTCTCCCGAGAGCTCCACAAGCCGGCAGCCGTGCAGCTGACAGGTGCCGCGGCAATCAGAGATGCGCCAAGCTGCTGCTGAGGGGAGGGGATCATACCAATAGACGGAACCCAGCTCCACCAACATGTTATATTTCAATCCATTTTCTAAAATGCAGCGTCATGTTAAATGCACTGGGGTTTACCCTATTACATTTAAATTTCATGGTTAAACAGTACATGTTAAAATCTAAGCTCAGCTCGGCAGTGACCTAAAATACATAAATATAATTTTACTTACCGAAAAAAATGAAGTGGATACTCCTTGGATGCTCTATTGGTGCAATTAATGCCACAGCAAGTCATTTTGTCCAACAATTGCACAAATAATATCCAAACAAGAATGCACAAACGGCACAACTAATGGTCTAAGTTGAGAAACTGAAAATCGCGGAAGAGTTTTCAGGCGAGGCCGAGGCTCAGACTGAGGCCTTTCCACAGAGCTAGCTCTGCGGTCACGTGTGTCGGATGCTCATTAATTATACAGAATTTTAGGCTTTTAATACACTTAAACAGAAGAGTGACAAAAAAATTCACCCCCCTCAGATTTGTCATGAGTGTAAACTAGATCTATTAAACCTAAAACATGTTTTGGTACCAGGCTGTAAACATGTTTATTTCTGCTGTGAAATTGGTATTTTTAACATGGGAGTCAATGAGGATTTGCTCTCTTCTGACACCAGCCCCTAGTGGATGAGGGTGGAACTGCAAATTTTCTCACTTCCGTGTTGGCTTCAATTTCGTACCAGTATTATGGGGGCTTGGTAGCAACTCAACAAATACCACACACAAACTGCATTTACTCATGGACATTCCTCGTTCAGACGGGATGTCTCACAAGGTAAAACTTGACTTCAAAGTAAACAAATATGGAGGAGCGTGCTGCGTACTTCTGTCTCATCTCTCTCTGATTGGCTACGCGTCACATTCAACAGGCAGCACGTTCATTTGTCCTCAAATAAGACCAAGACAGTCCAACGTGTTTGATTTATGATTGGAAATGTTCTCCCGAGCAAACCAGAGAGCTTGTAGCACACCACACACAGTAAGATTATCTGATCAGATTATCTTTAGAGCCATTACGGTAATCATACGCAACATTAAGACTGTTGGAAGGAGCAGGGCTGGGTGAAAGTCAGCAGGAATATCCAGCAGTGTGAACCAGGCTTAAATGATCTTACCCATATCTCACATCGAGTAACCATTTTCTCATATTTTTGCAGTATGGAGGAGTGTGAGGCGCTGTGCACTAGGATGGCCATCATGGTCAACGGCAGGTTCCGCTGTCTGGGCAGCGTGCAGCATCTCAAAAACAGGTCAGCCTTCACAGAAGAACTCAAAAACTTGATGTAGTCTGGCATGAAGCAGGATTAAACATTTCCTTTAGGATGCAGCTCAGGAATTTCTAACATTAGATGTGTTTTTTTTTTTTATCATTTTTTTGTCTTTTCACCATCAGGTTTGGTGACGGTTACACCATCATTTTGCGAGTGGCGGGGCCGGACCCAGACCTTCGGCCGGTGATGGAGTTCATCGAGCTGGAGCTGCCTGGGAGCACGCTGAAGGAGAAGCACCGCAACATGCTACAGTATCAGCTCCCCTCGTCCCTCACCTCGCTCGCCCGCATCTTCTCCCTCCTCTCTAAGAACAAAGAGGCCCTCAGCATAGAGGACTACTCTGTCTCTCAGACCACTTTAGACCAAGTAAGCTAACAAGCTCAGTGTCCTGAACATATCTTGACTGTGACAGTAAATTGAAGCATTGTCTAATTTTTTATTTATTTTTAACACAGGTGTTTGTCAATTTTGCCAAGGACCAAAGTGATGAGGACCACTTGAAAGACGTCCACTTGAACAAGCGGGATGCCGTCGTGGTGGATCTTTCACAGCTAAACTCTTTCCTAATGGACAGCAAGACAAGGGAGAGCTGTGTGTGAATGCACATGATCCTGGGGGATCATCGGACCACTAACCAGCGGGGAGAGACAAACTCTGTTCATTTTTTTATTTCCTATTTTTTAGTATTTTTTTAATGAACGTCATTCTCAGTGGACCTGCACCTCATCGCACAGCCTGTTCCAAAGGCAACGACAGCAGGCGTCAGGACAGACACTGAAACAATGAGAACTTCAATGCAAATCAATGCAAGAAATATAAATATATGAGTATATTAATATTGGAAGCTAGTCGTGTGAGGGTTGGAGACCGGTGCTTCTCCTTCACCTGGTGGACTGGAAGAAAGACGATCGTTGACGTGGTGGAAGGATTTTGACTGGAAGGTCTGGTTACTGACTTGATGATCAAGATCCAGCTTTGGGGGGGGGGGGGTCTTTGGAGAAATTATCTTGAGCTTTTCATCCTCATTCCTCAAAGTAGTAAGCAGTAGTACGCGGGACGGTGTACATGCTACTCTGTAGAGTTTGTGATGTCATTTCGATCATTCACTGCCAGCTGTTGAAAAACGAACGGACTGCGTTTTTATTCAGGGTCAAGCCTCTATTTCTATTTGTTACCAAGTGCAGTTTTATAATGTAAATGATGGTTAAAAGAACAGATACAACAACAGTGAAGATCCTACTTTTGGTCACCAATGTGCAATCATCACGCAGATTTTTTACTAATCCGATAAAATTTCCTTTTAACATATTTAGGTTGTTTTCTTGTTTTTTTCTTTGCGTAATAATCTAGACTGCTAACCGAGTTTTTCTTGGGGTCCTTAACATTGTCCAGCACAGTGCCTGAAACTGGTGGAGAGTCAAATCTGAGCACTCCATTACAACACACACATGTAGGTTGCCAAGGAATGTATCAGACCAACATGTATCAAAGCACATTTTCTTTGTTGTTATTTAGTGAAACAAAACTTTTCTTTTGTTCATTTTAATCGTCAGATTCAAGAAAAAAAACCGTGGTTCTTTGATGTTTGTTACTGGTTGTATTCGTGCAGCCGTCTTTTAACGAAGGCTGATCAGAAAGAAGAAAAGAGGACTCGAGTCTCCTCAAGTTCTGATCTCTGTTTGAAGGTACCATGGAATTATTCTGCATGCTTTCCACTCGGCCGCACACGGTGAACGATCAGTGCTTCTGTGTGTTTGTGCTACAGCATGCTATCGATGTCCGTTTGCAGGAAGATCTCGAAGCTCTGCTTTACTTCTGTTGGATTGCTAGCCGATGTTTTAGTGTGAGTCTAAAACCCATGCTGTTGTATTTTTAGGTCAAGAAACACAAAGTGTGGTTTTGGTCTTTGTGAGGGCATGATGGGAGATTTTCCAACCTAATCCAGTACCAGAACGGACATGTACAGTAGTGATTTAGTGATGTTAACAGTGGAGTGAACTAATGGTGTTTGTGCCAAATGAAGCTGAATCTTCTAATTAACACCAAGGAGACAATCGTTTCGTTAAGTTCAGCTTCAGATCATCCATCAGCTCAGTTACAAATATTCTAATCTTCTCGTTTTCAGCTTCTCGAAACTGAAACGGCATGCACGTGAAAAAGTAGACGCTCTTACTCGTGCTTTATTGGACTGTAAGTTCACTTTTTCCTGTGGAGACGTTGCCAAAGTCAAATCTCGCTTGTCTACATCTTCTAAGCTACGAATCAACTGCTGAGACATTTCGAGCAATTGTTTCAAAGGAAGTCAATCAGCCAGACTGAACAAAAGGACCACCGTGATTAAAATAGTGCTTTTAGTACTGTATAGTCCAAAAGAACCAATCATATCCAGGGTTTGGAAAGATGACCGTTTGTCATTTACAGGTGCTCCTTTTTGTGCAAAATCTTTGAAGGGGTTTCTATTATCTCTGGGATCTGCTAACTATTACCAACTGAGGATTTGATTCCTCTTGAACCCCTTTTGAATTTCATTTTAGAATTTTTTTTAGGTTTTGAGCACTTTATAGGCTTAGTAGCCTTAAGTTTCCAGCATTTAGATGTAAAGTTTTGGGAATGAAACGTGTGAAAACGAATCTCTGCACTGGAAAACGGACAGGAGAAAAAAACAAGACCACGCCACTGCAGGGAGACATTTGCTAGAAACTTGAAATAAGAGCAAAATCGTCTGTGAATTAGAGAAAAAAGTGAGCAGCAGAGTGGCGTAAAAAGAGAAATGTAGACCAGCACTGAAGTGGTGATTTTTATTCTCTTCTTGTTCTCAATTATATTGTTTGTTTACATTTCTAAGTATTACAGCTGTTTGAGTCTGTTACCCATTGTGCATAGTTGTTCTTTACATAAATAAACAATTCATACATTTTGAGAAAAAAAGATGTGATTGTTGTTTTTAATGACGATTTTACTTAAAACTTTAAAGGGGACATTTTTGCAAAACTCATCTTTTGTGTCCATGTTTGCTGCCATGTGGATCTCTATTGCTTCTATAAACACTCCGAACATAAAAAAAAAACATCCCAACAGTTTTCTGTAAGGGTTTGATTTAAGCCAAGCCAACTTTATTAAGTACTTTAAAAACAGCCTTCACTGACCAAAGTGCTGAACATAAAAACATAAAAGCATAAAATAGAATACAGTATAAAGTTAAAAGCACACTAAAATCAAATAGAAATCAAAAACTTTATACTGCGTTTATACAGAGTGTTAAGGAATTAACTGGCCTGAAGCAAGTCATTTCAAAAAGTCTCCTCTTGTGATGTCATAAATGGGGAAATTAAAATAGAAGCACCTCTCACGTGGGAGAGAGAGCTGCTGCTGGGGAAGCAGAGGCTCTACTTTGAGCCCCCCATGGATTTCAGAGCTTCTCAGCTTATAGCAGTTTCAGTGGGGAATGGGTGGGCGTGGCCAGCCCCAGCCCTGAAACAGCTCATTCTGGAATGTACTGAAAATGTCAAGAATTAAACTGCTAAAATAACTTAACTTGAGACAGATTTATTACAAAGACCTTCATTAACATGTTTTGTATCAATCATAGAACTATTATACCTGAGAAGAAAAATCCGTAACATGTCCTCTTTAATAAATGTAACCTGTCTACGGAAGTTTAAAGCTACTGATTAACAACATGCACCATTTACAGTGGGTATGTGTTTGGATGTTTCCAGAGTGAGCAAGTAGCTATGTGTCTCTTTTCATCTGCTGTGTTCCCACACACACACACACACACACACACACACGCACGCACGCACGCACGCACACACACACACACACACACACACACACACACACACACACACACACACACACACACACATGCAATAATATCACCAGTAAAAGCAGAAGCACACTCACAGGTGCCTCATTCTCAGTTATTCATCCACCAACACCATGACTGGAAGAGTTTTTCTGCTGGGACTTCTGCTCATCTGTGTCACTGCAGGTACATAACTGAAATACTTCCATTTTACAGCTTTTATTCAGGTCATTGAGAAATATGGACTAAATGATTTATTTTAGAAATAATTACAAAATTGATTAAAAAACAGTCATGAACTAATCATTTAAATTAGCTGGGCTAGTTATGAAAGCCTATAATAACCCCTGTGATAGTCTTCTGAATGGATTAGGTTCTTATCATTTTTTGTATAAATGCTGCTGGCTATTTATATTTTTTTCTTTTAGCTGAAGTGCAGAAGTCCGGATTTGAGAGAAAGGTGACATGGATTATTTAAATAAATTTGTTTCTCATCAGATCACAGATAAATTAATTATGTCCTAATTAAAAAAATTCCCTTCCTGGCAGCCCACCTGTCCTGATGAGGAGGTGATCATGGCATGCCCTATGAACCTTGCACCCGTGTGCGGCAGTGATGGAAACACTTATGCCAATGAGTGTACCCTCTGTGCCCAGAGCCAGTGAGTCCAAACAGCTGCTCCACACTCGACACATTCACACACACAAGTTGACTCTGGAGAATAGATTGCTTTTGTCTACCTCTTGTGGGGATATCATGAAAAATCTGGCAGGAAAATTTTAACTGTTGAAAAAGAACAATAATTCCTCAACGATTATTATTTTCCCTTCTGCAAATAAGCAGATTCACAGATAGTCAATTATCAAATTTACAGATAAATATGACTATAATAATATTTAAATAAATACACAAGCCTTTCTACCAAACATTTAAGAGCAACTGATGTCCATAATGTCAATTTTTGTTCTTATGTACATTTTATTTTGGCATTTGTTTGTTTTCCGGCTTGAATTTTCAGTCTCCAACAGCCTGTGTGTCTTAATTGGTTACTCCTCTGTCCAAAGGATGAGCTTTTCAAGTGAAATTTTGAGTTCCACCTGTAGGTGGCACTAACACAGCAAAGAAATTGCATTAGATGTTCTGTTTTAACATTAAAATCGCATAAAATGACAACAAACAGAGAGTGTGTGAGAATGGGGAAGTGAGAGAGGGAGGAGAGGAGATTTACCTCCTAGCATCCTAGCTAGCTGTTTCCAGTAGCAGAGGGAGCTATCCCCCAACGCTCCAGAGACATCAGCTATGATGACTGGCCAAACATTTTTTTCCAGATCTCTCACGCCAATCTCCCTAGCAACTCAAGATGATTGGATATTTATCTGCAGTTCGTGGACACTTTCCCCAGTGCCCCAGGCATAATATTAGTGAGTCTGTTAGAGGAAATTCACAGTTTAATGAAAGACAGATGGTGAAAATGATGTGTAAATAATTCAGCTTGTCGGTAGGCACACAATTAATCAAAACAGGCACGTTTGTAATAAATTGTATATTTTGTAACTTTTTAATTTTTCCCCCTTCATATTGGGGAGGGCAGCACCCTAGCGCCCTCTATGGACAGGCTGCCACAGAACTGCACAATAATGTGTGATGCTTCACCTTTAGCATTAACTGAATCAACCCCTATTAGTGTATCTCATGAACATCTGAACAAGGAGTTAAGTTTAGTTTAGTTTAGTTCCATCATGTAAAAAAGAACACGAAATCATTAAAATATGCAAATAGAAGGAAAAAAGAACAGTAAAACAAGAAATTATGACCTTCAAAATAAATAAAGAACATTTATAGTCAATCCACTTCAAGATGGCCACCATGACTAATTAGCATCAGCCAACACAAAAATATCTGAAACAGTTTCATACATAGAGCTAAAAAGTGGTGGTAGCTGAGAATTATCACGTTACACGTTTGAATATTGCACATAAAGTTTAGGATTTGATGAAAACGGATATAACGCCCCACATTTCAACATTTGATGGTCTGGCATGAAAGCAAGTCACACGCATTCCTTCAAGGAATGCTGGGCATTTTGTTTTAGGAAACGTTCATCAGTTCTTTTGAGAAGCTAAAATATTCGACAACGTAACCATTATTCTTGAAAAATATTGCACAACAAGTTTCCTCCTAATTTTATTGTTTTTACCACTCACTTTGCACTCCACCCCTTTTGCACACACTTGACCTGATGTTCCAGCAATAAGTCCCTTGTCTCATTTTCTGATAAACCACACCAACAAAACCTCAGCTGACAGACTGAGTCACAGTCACACCGTGTCATTGTTGTCTCCTCAGAAAAATCAAGATGGACATTATGGTCGTCAAGGAGGAAAGTTGCTGATCCGCTAGGCTGACCATGCTGTCATTAAGGAGGAAGACCTACACCCCTTGTCTCAAATAATAAATGTCCTTACAACAAGATCTGAGTTTGAGTCATCAGTGTGTTTGTGATGCTCTCTTTAAAACTGCATTATAGAAAATAGGATTAAAGGGATGCAAGAGTTAAATGACAGCTGGTTTATTGTTTTATGTGATAAAGTAAAGAGAAATGTTCTTCTGTGGGCAGAAAGTAGCCGGTGAATGATTAGCCTGTTATCTGAGAGTGTTATGTCATTGTTTACTCTCCTCTTACTGAGTAACACAGTGTGTTGGAAGAGAGAAGTGTGTTAGCAGACTGAGAGTGTGTTCGTGGATGTCCGCAAAAACAGAACTCAACGGATCCTTTGGGCAAAGGTCAGGTGTGTCACATGGCTGAAAACCAGGAAATGAGGTTGTGGCTTTAATCCACATTCACTTCCTGTCTACTGACAGAAGAGCAGGTTTCTCAGCTCCAATGTGCTGACTTATCAATGATGATAAGAGACGCAGAGGAACATGAGTAAGTACAGATATAGAAAAGTTCATGGCGGTGGGACGTTTTGGATTCCGTCAGCTCTTTTGAATCAAGTTTCTGCAAAAGTTAACATGAAGCTGAGTTTATTTACAGATGTTGAGTTTATCCTGTAGAACACTGGTCGATTGCACTATTCAAAAGTAATTTACTCTTCCGGATGTTAATTAAATTAAACATTCTTCTGACGCCTGAGCTCATCTGGGATCAGTTCTGTTTGGATCCATTGTGTTTGTTTCTGCTCACATTTTTCTCCTCAGTGTTCCTGTTCTTCAAATCACTACTATTATTTTGTCCTACTTGTTTTTTGCAACAATCCAGCTTTTCCAGCGTCTCCACGGTTGACGGCTGTCAAAATGGTGTCTCGGTGGGCTTTTTTCTGCACCTGTCACTCATACCAGCTGTAAGTTGTCACTTTGTACACATGCACGCATGCACACACAATTTTCTGGATTTTATGTGATATTTCAAAGGTAAGTCTTTTATTTTGAAAGGCATTTAACACTTAAAAGCCCACACAAGTCTTTTTCTCAAACTAAATGATAAAATTTTGTAGGAGTTGTAAATTGAGTGCTTTAAGAGCTCAATATATTGCCTCTACTTATGACCAATAAGCTGTGATACTCCATATAAATATAGAATACCAACCTGCTGGACATTACAATTTCTACACCCACTTTGCATTTGTGTTATCCTTATCAACCCGAGACAAAGTAATCAAACCAGCTTATTTTGCATTAATCCCAGGGAAAAGAAGCACCATTTACAGATTAAAGGGATGCAACTGTGGTGGAATGTTATTTTCAATGAGTTGCATATCAGCAACACTGAATAGAATCCTCCATTGACTGGCGTGCTATCTTGTCTTCGAGGTGCTGATTGCAGGCGTACTGTCGTTCCTCCAGAGACGATCCCAGACTCTGGCCATCGACCAGAGACTGCCCTTCCTAGAAGGACGTTTTGGTATTGTGGTGTAAGTCAACATTACCACACATAACATACCAACATACCACTCCTTCATAAACTGCAAATGGTCCAGAATTCAGCAGCCCGTATTATCACCAGAACCCCTTCCTTTCACCACATCACCCCGGTTCTCCGGCAGCTTCACTGGCTCCCAGTTAAATTCAGGTCCATCTTCAAAATTCTCCTCCATACCTTCAAAGCAATCCACAACCTCTCTCCTCCATATATCTCTGACCTCATAAGTATTCACACCCCATCCCGTTCACTCAGATCATCTTCTTCCATCCATCTTGCGGTTCCTTCTGCCCGTCTCGCTACCATGGGGAGCAGAGCTTTCAGCCGCTCTGCTCCCCGTCTCTGGAACTCACTTCCCCCAGACATCAGGAACATCGACAGTTTTACCCTTTTCCAATCAAAACTCAAAACACACATGTTTAAATCTGCCTACAACCTCTGATTTTATTGAACTGTTTCTCTCTTTGTTTTTTCTTGTTTGGGTTTTATTATTGTTTTATTGTATTTTATTACGTGTTTTCTGTAAAGTGACCTTGGGTGTCCTGAAAGGCGCTTTGAAATAAAATGTATTATTATTATTATTATTATAATGTGGACAAATCTATACTGGAATCTGTAACTGGAACAGTAGATATTTTACTAAAAGGTCTTTGGAAAAACATTCTGGTGTGAAATTTGGTGTTTTTCATGCCCCAGGCCTTTAGACACAATCGGCAGCCTGAGTAACCGCTGGTCTTATGGCTTTGCCTTTGGTGCCGTGTCCAGCAGCGTTCTGCTGCTCTTCTCGGAACGATACCTCCCCTTTAACGTTGTGTCCTGGGCCAGAGGTACACACTCTATGGGGTTCCATTTGTAAAGACAAAGAGTCATAATTTAAAAGCAGTATTTTGGGTTATTTAGCATACCATAAGTGAAAAAGCTCATTTTTCAAAATCAGATTTTTACCAATTTATTGATACATTTATAAATGTTAAAGGTCCCAACTAAGTATTTAGTTGGCATTTCATCGTTGTCGTCGTCTTCCCCCGCTTATCTGGGTCCGAGTCACGGGGGCAGCCTCCCAACTAGGGAGCTCCAGACCGTCCTCTCCCCGGCCACCTCCACCAGTTCCTCCGGCAGGACCCCAAGGCATTCCCGGATCAGATTGGAGATGTAACCTCTCCAATGTGTCCTGGGTCGACCCGGGGACCTCCTGCCAGCAGGACATGCTCAAAACACCTCCCCAGGAAGGCGTCCAGGAGGCATCCTGACCAAATGCCCAAACCACATCAAATGACTCCTTTCGATCTGGTGGAGCTGCGGTTCTACTCCGAGTCCCTCCCGGATGTCCGAGCTCCTCACCCTATCTCTAAGGCTGAGCCCGGCCACCCTCCGGAGGAAACTCATTTCGGCCGCTTGTATCCGCAATCTCGTTCTTTCGGTCATTACCCAAAGCTCATGACCACAGGTGAGGATTGGAACGTAGATCGACCGGTAAATCGAGAGCCTGGCTTTCTGGCTCAGCTCCCTCTTCACCACGGCAGATCGGCTCAGCGTCCGTATCACTGCAGACGCTGAACCAATCCGCCTGTCGATCTCCCGATCCCTCCTACCTTCACTCATGAATAAGACCCCGAGATACTTAAACTCCTCCACTTGAGGTAGGACCTCTCCCCCGACCCGGAGGTGGCAAGCCACCCTTTTCCGGTCGAGAACCATGGTCTCAGATTTGGAGGTGCTGATCCTCATCCCAGCCGCTTCACACTCGGCCGCGAACCTACCCAGCAAGAGCTGAAGGTCAGAGCTGGATGAAGCTAGGAGGACCACATCATCCGCAAAAAGCAGAGACGAGATTCTCCTGCCACCAAACTCGAGACACTCCACACCACGGCTGCGCCTATAAATTCTGTCCATAAAGGTAATGAACAGAACCGGTGACAAAGGGCAGCCCTGATGGAGTCCAACCCTCACTGGGAACGGGTCCGACTTACTACCGGCTATATGCGGACCAAACTCACGCTCCTCTGGTAAAGGGACTGAACGGCCCTTAACAGAAAGCCACCCACCCCATACTCCTGGAGCGTCCCCCACAGGGTGCCCCGGGGACACGGTCATAAGCCTTCTCCAAATCCACAAAACACATGTGGATTGGTTGGGCAAACTCCCATGCCCCCTCCATCACCCTTGCAAGGGTATAGAGCTGGTCCACAGTTCCACGGCCAGGACGAAAACCACATTGCTCCTCCTCAATCTGAGATTCAACTATGGATCAGACCCTCCTATCCAGTACCTTGGAGTAGACCATTCCAGGGAGGATGAGGAGTGTGATCCCCCTATAGTTGGAACACACCCTCAGGTCACCCTTCTTAAAGATGGGGACCACCACCCCGGTCTGCCACTCCCTAGGAACTGCCCCCGATGACCATGCAATGTTGAAGAGACGTGTCAGCCAAGACAGCCCTACAACATCCATAACCTTGAGATACACAGGACGAATCTTATCTGCCCCTGGGGCTCCGCCGCTGTGTAGTTGTTTGACTACCTCAGTAACTTCTGCCTCCGAGATTGGACAGTCCATCCCCAGGTCTACCGGATCTGGTTCCTCCTCGGAATGTGCATTGGTGGGATTGAGGAGCTCCTCAAAGAATTCCTTCCACCATCTGACTATAGCCCCAGTTGACGTCAGCAGCTCCCCATCCCCACTGTAAACAGTGTGAGCGAGTTGCTTCCTTCCTCTCCTGAGGTGCCGGACAGTTTGCCAGAACCTCTTTGGAGCCGATCGATAGTCTTTCTCCATGGCCTCACCAAACTCCTCCCACGCCCGAGATTTTGCCTCAGCAACTGTCACTGCTTTATCCCGCTTGGCTATCCGGTACCTGTCTGCTGCCTCCGGAGACCCACAGACCAGCCACGCCCTGCAGGCCTCCTTCTTCAGCCTGACGGCTCCCCGAACCTCTGGTGTCCACCAGCGGGTACGGGGGTTGCCACCACGACTGGCACCGGCCACTTTGCGACCACAGCTAGCAACAGCCGCCTCAACAATTGCAGAGTGGAACAAGGCCCACTCAGAGTCAATGTCCCTCACTGCTTTCGGGACGCAGTCAAAGCTCTTCCGGAGGTGGGAGTTGAAGACCGTCTTGACAGGTTCTTCTGCCAGGCGTTCCCAGCAGACCCTCACTATGCGTTTGGGTCTGCCAGGTCTACGCGGCATCTTCCCCTGCCATCTGATCCAACTCACCACCAGGTGGTGATCAGTTGACAGCTCCGCTCCTCTCTTCACTCGGGTGTCCAAAACATACGGCCGCAGGTCAGATGATACGACTACAAAATCTATCATCGACCTGCGACCTAGGCTGCCCTGGAACCAAGTGTACCGATGGGCATCCTTATGTTCAAACATGGTGTTCGTTATGGCCAAACTGTGGCTTGCACAGAAGTCCAATAACGAAACACCACTCGAGTTCAGATCAGGCGGGCCATTCCTCTGATTCACACCCCTCCAGGTAATGCTGTCATTGCCCACGTGAGCATTGAAGTCCCCATGCAGGACAACGGAGTCCCCTGATGGAGCACTACCTAACACTCCTCCCAGGGACTCCAAAATGGGTGGGTACTCTGAACTGATATTTGGCCCATAAGCACAAACAACAGTCAGGACCCATTCCCCAACCCGAAGGCACAGGGAAGCTACCCTCTCGTCCCCCGGGGTAAACCCCAACACACAGGCAGAGAGTCTTGGGCTAACAAAAAGCCAACCCCAGCCCTCCACCTCTCACCCAGAGCAACTCCAGCAAAGGAGAGTGTCCAACACCTCTCAAGGACTTGGGTTCCAGAGCCAATGCTATGTGTCGAGGTGAGTCTGACTATATCTAGCCGACACCGTTCAACCTCTGCCACAAGCTCCGGCTCCTTCCCCGCCAGCGAGGTGATGTTCCATGTCCCAAAAACCAGTTTCCTTGTCCGGGGATCGGACCGCCAAGGCTTCCGCCTCGGTCTGCCACCTGATCCACACTGCACCGGACGCTTCATGTTCCTCCTGCGGGGGGTGGGTCCACAGTTGGATGAGCCCATATATCCGGTTCGGGCTGGGCCCAGCCAGGCCCTATGGGCGAAAGCCCGGCCACCAGGCGCTCACTCACGGGCCCCAACCCCAGGCTTGGCTCCAGGGTGGGACCCTGGTAACCCTCCGGGCCACGTACTCTGACTCTTTGATTGTATATCCATGAACATCCTCTGAATCGTTCTTTGTCTCACCCTTCACCTAAGACCAATTTGTCATGGGAGACCCTACCAGGGGCACATAGCTCCTAGGATCATTAGGGCACTCAAACTCCTCCACGACAATACAGTGACGGTTCAAGGAGGAGCAAGTTGGCAAGTTAAATATTTAATTTAAGTAAATATTTATTTTATAAACTAAATATTTAAGTCAGAACTAAATATTTAGTTTGTAAAATCAATACTTAAAGAGCAAGTCAGCCCCAAATAAAATCAGGTAAAAACTCTGCACTGTATTTTAATTTAAATCTGCCACCGCTATTGGCTACGAGGTATGCTATGATGTAAACTGGTACATTATGATGTCACAATGCTGTCGTGAGCCTGTGTGTGTGTGTGTATTTGTTAGCAGCTCTGCCTTCTCAGTTGGCCAGGCAACAGCAATTGTTGCATTTTTCAAACATGAAGTGAGAGTGGAGTTATACTCTGGTAGGGGTTGACTTGCTCTTTAATATACTTACAAAATATTTAATTTGGAGCTAAATATTTAGTTTACTAACTAAAAATTTAGCTCCAAATTAAATATTTCCTAAATAAATATGCAGGTCCCAGCTAAATATTTATTTTGAAGTTAAACATTTAGTTTGCAAATTTCATATTTATGTATAGCCATAATAGAACCCATAATATATATTTAGCTGGCATCTTAAAATTTATTTTGTAAAATAAATATTAAATTAAGTATTTATTTTACTAACTAAATATTTTGGTCAGACCTACATATTTAGTTTGTAAAATAAATATTTATCTCAAAATTAAATATTTATTTTACTAACTTAATATTTAGCTCTTACCTAAATATTTAGTTTATAAAACATATTTAATTTGAAATTCAATATTTAGCTTTCTAACTAAATACTTATTTGGGATATTTAACATTTATAAATGTATGAATGATACATGGTGAAATATGACTTTGAAAAATGAATTCCCATTTAACTCAAAATATTGCTGTTTAGTTATGGACGTTTGACTTTACAAATGATACCCTATGCACCCCATCTCATACACACAGCTCAAATAAGTACACCACCTGATGTAGTGTTCTTCGACTGTAGCCATAGTGTATCTGGTTGGAGCTCTGGAAGTGGGCCTGGTGTATTTCCCTTTTTTCGCCTGCCTCTCCACACCATTCCGAATGGCCGGGGCGATGCTGGGAATTCTCTACTCTGTGTCCTGGTGAATATTCCCTCATGTATTCAACATACAGGGTTTCACAACAGAGTAAAACAAACTTTATTGATTCTGTTTCTAGGATCATCATCACAGTGTGGGACATGGTCACCTGTCCTGGGGGTAAGGTAGGTGGAGGTGGGGTAATAAACCTAGCATTCACAAACTTTCATTTAATTATTGGAATGTTTTCAAGTATTTAAAAAATGAAGGTGTCTATGTTTTTGATAGAAATAATGGTTTATCATTTAAAGATTCTGGGTAAATACCAGAAGGTGATTACTCAGTGGCCCAGCGTCCTCTCACTCATCTTCCTCTTGGGACGATTTGTTTACATGCTGGTTAAAGACATTCGCATACGTCTGCAGCTGGAACAAGAGGTCAGAGTCAAACAAGTTCTTTAAAGTGACAATGTGAATTTTCCCTGGCAACAGGGGGCAGTATGTACCTAAATCACTGCAACCAAGCAGTATTTTTGTGATTGAGTAAGACCTTACCCACGGATGGCCATTTGGGTCAGTGAAGAAGTAAATGTGTACAACAACGTTTAAGAATGGCAAAAGTTTATTAACCATTTGTTAAATTAGTAAATGCATTTTGTCCTCATGGACTCGCGTAGAAGGAAACATGGGATCTAATGTGGCGTCATCCAGAGACTTAGATCCGCTCCCACATATTTTAGACCTGATTTTTATGTTACAAAGCCACCAATATTATTACAACTGGGCATCATTTAATTCATTTTCAACTTTATTTAAAAAGGGTAATGGTTAAAACTACAGATTGTCACTTTAAAGGTCACCATTGTCTGAATGTGTCACTTTGTTATTTGTGAGTGTGAATATGATAAATTTGTTGCCAGGACCCAGAGGACCTAATTGGTCAACATCAGGTGCAACATGTGAAGCAACTGCTGGGCATAACACCTGAGCACAGGTAGACAATAGACACACCATTGAACACTGAAGAACATAACATTTTGGATGAGTTCCTCACTCTCCAAACCCAAATGGAGTCAATACAGGTTGAGCAGCTATGCCCGTTTTTGTGCAGTCTATGGTAGCAACAAATCATGTTGGATTAACATTGACTTTTCTAACCTTCCTGTTGGGATTCTATATTTAAATTTATTTTAATTTACTTTATTTAGTTATATGTATTTTATCCCTGTCATGACAGACCCTATGTCTAACATTGTGAAAAAGCATTATAAAATGTGGTCTTTAGTTGACTAAACACCTTCCTCAGTAAAAATAAACGTACTAGGGACAAATGGGGACCCTTCCAAGATGGCTGCCCACTGCTACACCAGCTCCATTAGGCAGTACCAGTCCATGTGGTGTCTATGTATATGATATCTGTGTGGATGATGGACTGATGCCAAGTATGGGAGCCCTCACAGGCAAATGAAAAGAAAAAAATTAAGGATATGCCTTTTTTATGAATTATAAACAGCTGTGTTTTAAAAAAAAACTAAACTGTTTTTCTCAATTAAGGAAAATTAGAAATTTGAAAAATTATTTTGTTTGCTAATAATAAAGTTAAAAGAAAATAGAATATTTTTTGGGTAACCTTTCTCAGCTTCTGGAGCTAACATATATATATATACACACACACACACAACAAAAATATTGATGCAACACCTTTGTTTCTGCTCCGATTTTTCATGAGATGGACTTAAAGATCTAAAATTCATTCCAGATACACAATATTACCATTTCTCTCAAACATTGTTCACAAATCAGTCTAAATGTGTGATAGTGAGCACCTGTGCTTTGCTGAGATAATCCATCCCACCTCACAGGCGGAGCATCAAGATGCTGATCTGACATCATGAGTAGTGCACAGGTGTACCTTAAACTGCCCACAATAAAAGGACACCCTGGAATGTGCAGTTTTTTTGCTTTATTGGGTATCTGGTGTGACCACCATTTGCCTCATGCAGTGCAACACATCTCCTTCGCATAGAGTTTATCAGATTGTCAATTGTGGCCTGTGGAATGTTGGTCCACTCCTCTTCAATGGCTGTGCAAAGTTGTTGGATATTAGTGGGAACTGGTACACGCTGTCGTATACGCCGGTCAAGCACATCCCAAACATGCTCAACAGGTGACATGTTCGGTGAGTATACAGGCCATGTGTAAAGCGTTAATTTACAGTTATTTAAGGAACCATAAGACATAAGATTCCATAGTAAATATGAAATCAATCTTACATATCTTTGGGTACTTTTAACCAGAAGATTGGAACTTTTTATTGCAGGGATTATGTAACACTTCGTATTAACTGAGAGACAAGAGAAGAGAGAGTCACCTTTAAAACGTTAAAGAAGATTTATTTCTAAACAATTTTAAACAATTTTAAAAAAGACAAACTCTAAATTCTAAGTGAATGGATGGATCTTGGTGTGAATGAGACGTGAGAAGAATGGTGCATGTGTGAGTGATGTTTGTAATCAGAACTCTCGTATCCAGAGAAGCAAGTCTGAATGATGTTGTGATGTTTTGCTCTTAAGCTACGATCAGAGTTTCAGAAACATATGAGATGCCAGGTCCTCGGACCCCCCTTCGGTACCGGAGCCGATGAAACAGCGTCAGCAGTACGACAGACTAGTCTTTGGATTGTCTCGAGGTAAAAAGCAACAGTTGGTTGACAGCGTCAAATTGACCCAGAAGGTCAGTGAGTTCAGCTTTTATTTTGAAAGGAATCGTTGCTTGGTTGGTAAAATGCAACAGATTTTATCCAGCTTGTTGGTTCTTTGCTTAAAAAGGAAGTCCGGGTGGCCGGTCCGATACTTCTCTTAGAATGCGGTGAACTGCAGTGAACTGTAGAGAACTGAAGTAAGATGGCGTGGGGATTGGTTTTATTAATCTGAATGTTTTGATTTATGGTCGAATCAAAGTTGGCAGAATTATAAACACCACAGAGAGTATGCCACGCTTCAGAAAGGAAGGTTCCGATTGGATGAGTAAAAGCAATGTGTCATGCGTTTACATTACGTGTCGTCAGAATGTCTAGTGCATATAGATTAAAGTCATATTACTTATAAAAACATACCAATCATAACATTGTCATTTCACAGATTGGTCAACATCTTATTATTGACTAACACTTTGTTTGATTAGCTTTATTAAAAATAGAGCTATTTGGTTTATTAAAAAGAAAGAATTCTTTGTCTTCATCCTTCTCTTGGGCTGGAAAGGAAGCAGTTTAGAAGCAAATGCATGACCTTGAGGCAGTCTCATGCCGATTAGTTCTGTGTCAGAGACATCTGAGGAGAGAGGGTAAATAACCTTCGGTGGAATAGCTCCTTCATCATGTTACACATGCAAGAACTGGGACATTTTCAGCTTCCAAGAATTGTGTCCTTGCAACATGGGGCCTTGCATTATCTTGCTGAAACATGAGGTGATGTTCATGGATGTACGGCACAACAATGGGCCTCAGGATCTCATCACGGTATCTCTGTGCATTCAAAATGCCATCAATAAAATGCACCTGTGTTCCTCGTCCATAACAGATGCCTGCCCATACCATAACCCCACCACCACCATGGGCCACTTGATCCACAACATTGACATCAGCAAAGCGCTCACCCACACGACGCCACACACACTGTTTGCCATCTGCCCTGAACAATGTAAACCGAGATTCATCCATGAAGAGAACACCTCTCCAACGTGCCAGACGCCATTGAATGTGAGCATTTGCCCACTCAAGTCTGTTACGGCGACGAGCTGGAGTCAGGTCAAGACCCCGATGAGGACGACAAGCATGCAGTTGAGCTTCCCTGAGACGGTTTCTGACAGTTTGTGCATAAATTGTTTGGTTATGCAAACCAATTGCTTCAGCAGCTGTCTGAGTGGCTGGTCTCATACGATCTTGGAGGCGAACCTGCTGGATGTGGAGGTCCTGGGCTGGTGTGGTTACACATCGTCTGTAGTTGTGAGGCCAAATGGATGTGCTGCCATATTCTCTGAAACGCCTTTGGAGACGGCTTATGGTGGAGAAATTAACATTCAATGCACAAGCAACAGATCTGGTTGACATTCCTGCTGTCGGCATGCCAATTGCATGCTCCCTCAATGGTCGTGGCATCTGTGGCATTTTGCTGTGAGACAAAACTGCACATTCCAGGGTGGCCTTTTACTGTGGGCAGTGTAAGGTACACCTGTGCACTACTCATGATGTCGGATCAGCATCTTGATGTGGCACACCTGTGAGGTGGGATGGATTATCTCAGCAAAGCAGAAGTGCTCACTATCACACATTTAGACTGATTTGTGAACAATGTTTGAGAGAAATGGTAATATTGTGTATCTGGAATAAATTGTAGATCTTTAGGTCCATCTTATGAAAAATCGGAGCAGAAACAAAGGTGTTGCGTTTATATTTTTGTTGAAAGTACATATGTGTGTGTGTGTATATATATATGTATATATATATATATAGTCTTTTTATTTATTAATTTTTTTAAATGATTTAAATAAGTTTGCAAATTATCACACTGTTAAACCCTATAGTGTAAGAATCCGTTTTACATGATCTAAAAAATTACCTGATGCATTCAGGTGCAGCTGGTGTGACTTTCAGGAGTTTTTGATCATTTAAATGATCACTTGTAACATTTTGGAGCCACAGGGAGAGAAAAAAATCAACTTCAGACTTTAAAAATCGCAATAATAACATAAAACATCCAATCAGAGATCGATGCATGTTCTGTGTTGCAGCAAACCCCTAGGCTGGTTCCAGAGGCGAGTTTATGAATGGGATCCCAACTTTAAGTTTCCCAACAGGATCATTGGCACTGCCATTATATCCCTCATAGGCCTGTATACGGTGAGGACAACTGTACAAGTGGGATGAATGAATCGCTCATAGATTGGTTGATGTGTTCATGTGTCTTTCTTTCTAGATGACTCTGGCAGACTACAGCCTCAGTGATGCCATCTTTGATAGAGTGGAACGCTGGAATAATGCGCTAAAAGAGGGGCTGATAATCTGTAACCAGACTGAAGCTTTAGGATACCTGATCCCACAGATAGAAGAGTTCATCTATGTGGCCAGAAGTCAGTATTTTATACAGACCTTCTCAAAATCTGCTTAAAATTGCCAAAATAAAGTGCAAGAAACCTGATTTTATATCCTGCTCCAATGCAACAAGGTGAGCTGAAATGCCTCCAAACTGTCACAGAGGTGTAAACAGAAGATTTGTTTTGTTTTTAAGAGTCTTGGCTTGTCACCACGATCTTTGCCAGTCTCAACTCTGTTGCTTACACCTTCCACATCTTAGCGTGTTACAGGTGAGAAATGATGCAACCAATGCACACTGCAGCGGGACAGAATGAAACTTGCTTGTGTACTTGCTTAAGCACTTATGTACTTAAAACTATACACTTCAGGAAACATTTGAAGAGACTCTGGAAGGGACAGAAGACTTTTCTTCCTGAGAAATTCCACAATCCTCTGTCTGCCGTGAGCGTAGTGAGTAAAACACACAAATCCTAAGTACACGCAATAAGTTAAGGACTAGGGGCGCCTCCAAAAAATTTTGATAGGGGTGGCCAGACAAGGCCAAAGAAATTTTTGGGGTGGCACACCAAATTGGTCCTTGTGGTAACTCTGGGAGAGTTTAGCCTGTGGTGATGTATTGCATTGCTCCTTTATTGGTTTTTAATAAAAAAAAAAACAGCACGTATCCAAAACATTTAACTACAATTTTACAAACACAAACATTTCAGAAAAATATATTTCAGTTATTTAAATGTTACTTAAATTTTTATTTGAAAATGTTTTTTTAGTTCAAGAATTAAACAAAAAAAATACATTTTCAAATAAATTTTTACCTCTTGCTGAGTTCACAAAAAAACTATGGAGATAAAAAAATTTTAAACATGTATTTTTTAAATTCTGATTATTTCCTTTCTCATTAACTGTATTATTTTTATTTTTATTTACAATTATGTCTTGTATAAGTAAGATCAATTTATGGTTTGAGTGAACATTAATATGATTTATTAACACTGGTTTTTGCTGGGGGGGGGGTCAGCAATTTTCTAGGGGTGGCCATGGCCACCCCTTAGAGGCGCCTTTGCATACCAGGCCAGCAGTGTTCTGGTGGAACACTAGAACATGGTTGACCAAAACATCAGAAGGTTAAACAAGATTTCTGATTACCTCTCTAGGCTTCTATTGCAAGATACTCAGGCTGGCAGATAGCATTCACGCTGTGGGGTAAGCCTTTCATCCTTTCATCCTCCTCTGTAGGCTGAACACCTTATGTGAAGCGTATTTTTGGATAAATGTTTGTGGTTCCACTCAGGCTACCTGATTGTCCACTTTGTCCACTTCCTGTTTGCACTGCTCTTGGTCTACGGACTCATTCTTCCCATACAACATGGACAAACTCTGAGCATGCTGAAGAATCTGAGCCTAATTCTGTAAGGCTGTGTCTTCTTGGGTTGGTAGAGGGGATAAAACGGGATAAGTACAGGTTCTGATCGGACTTTTCAGTCTGACGATAGGTCTGGTGATCGCCTTGGTGATTGTCCAGGTGGTTCTGGTTCAGGTCTTCTTCCTGCAGGACAAAATGTCTCCCAGTGATAAGCAGAAACCTCTAGCTCTCAACAACAGGTCAGTCTAATTCATGAGCACAGCTGTGTTAATAACACCATTAAGATATTTTATTCTAGGCATCAAACACTAAACTGTTACTAGAGGAAGTTGGTTTTGATAATGGACAAAATCTGATAAGATGTATAATTATTGTGTCCAAAGCCATAAAATCTAGACTCCCTCACATGTGGATCCAATATGAAAATGAGCGTTCAAATTATGTTTTTGTGGCTCAAAAAGATCAAAGAATATATACTTTTTTTATCTTTAATGTACGTTTTTTAACCCCAAGCTTTGATGCAATATGAGAAATCTGTTTAAAACCAAACTCAAAGTCTGGATGAACTAATTAAATTTGAATTTAAAAGCTCAAAATTTGACCAAATTCTTTCCTTTTGCGTCTCAGGAAAGCATTCCACTGCTTCAACTACTTCTTCTTTTTCTACAATGTGGTGATGGGCATCAGCACCTGCATCCTCAGGTTGCTAATCAGTCTTGTGGTAGGAACGTGGTTGGTGTCCCGCATAGACCGGACCATAATGCAGAGGGGATACGAAACCCTGGACGCTGGTGAGCTTAAAATCACATGTGCTGCACGAAGGTGGGGCACTGGCTAGTTTCATGTTCCTCAGGTTGAACAATATTTATTTATTTGTTTGTGTATTTATTTATTTTTATTTGTTCAATCAATCATTTATTTTTTATGTATTTATTCATTCATTCATTTTTAATAATTTATTTGTTTACTTTCTTTATTTATTTAACTTGTTTAATCCTTCATTTTTATGAATTTGTATTTATTCATTCATTCATTTTTATTAATTTATTTGTTTACTTTATTCATTCATTCATTCATAAAAAATGTATTTATTTATTTTATTCATTCTATCGTTCATTAATTTTTATTTATTTATTTCATCTGCTTTGTTTTGCGTTGATGGAGTTTTAAGATGTTACTGTCCTTTGTTTTAATCCATGTCTACCACAAGGTGGCAGCAATTAGCATAATAAAAGGGTGTAAAGGTTTGCTTATTTACAATAAACTTGTGCTTTAGACTTTGTCCATGACTCTAACTGCATGTTCCAGGCTACAACACGTGGATCGGGATGATCTTTGCAGACCATTACCACAACAACCCCGTCATGGTGTGTTTCTGTCAGCTGCTGATCTCCAACTCTGTGGAAAGACACAACTCAAACACCTACTCCTCATTTGACAATGCCCTACCAGGTTAGCCCTTTAGGCCCTAGGCCTTTTTCTTTGGGCCCTGGCACCTCCCAGTTGGGGGCCTTTGGAGTTTCATGTCCCAAGTGTCAGTGATTGTTTGCATTCCCCGAGCAGAGCTACAGCTACAATCAAAACAGTTTAGATTGTAAACAAAGCAATTTTTGGTTTTTGATACATTAAAATAAAATAATACTTGAACTTTATTTTAGAAGAGCTGCCCTGTGTGAAAGTGCTGACAGGATGGAGGTTGTGAGTTCAAATTCCATTTTGGAAATTTAGTCAATCGTTTTATTTATTCCAGGGGTTCTCAACTACATTTGTTCAAGGATTTTTTTTTTTCAGCAGACATCAGAAAAGGTCAGATGCTCTTCTAAAATAAAGTTTAAATATCATTTTATCTTAATTTATTACAATTTAAAATGGCCTTGTTTCCCATCTGGGCTGTTTAATTGTGGTTTTAGTTGTGTTTGGAGAATGGGGACAGTTGTAGATGTTTGGGACATGAAACTGTAGAGGCCCCCAATTGGGGAGTGTTAGGGTTAAACAGGTTAGAAGACCTGTATGTATTTCAGGGGACATTCATAACCTTCAATATATATTGCATCTACATTTTCTCCCACTCTTCTTCATCCTTCGTCTTTAACTTTCCAGCATCTTCCACGAACAACCAGTCCAGGAGGCGCTGGGGCTTGTTCTACACACTACTGAAGAACCCCCCCCTCATCCTACTCAGGAAACACAACCTGTACCGATCATCATCATCACCATCATGTACCCAGAAAGAATCAGTGGTTCGGGCTTGGGTCATGGCCTCACAAACACAGAGCCACCAGTCAGTGCCACAGGCGCCCCCAGAAAGCAAAGCCACATCTGAGGAACACTGTGCTGAAGTGGAGGATGTGCATGAGTTAGCCTAGTTTTTGTTTTCGTGAATGAAAATGTGAGATTCTATGCTTTTTATAAATAAGCTGTTTTATTGGGATATGTGTTATTTCTTGTAAAAGTATGTCAGATAATAAAAGAGCCTGGGGCTCCACCCTGGAGCCAGGCCTGGGGTTGGGGCCCGTGAGCGAGCACCTGGGCTCTCCAAAGAGGTTCTGGCAAACTGCCCGGTGCCTCAGGAGAGGAAGGCAGCAACTCGCTCACTCTGTTTACAGTGGGGATGGGGAGCTGCTGACGTCAACTGGGGCTATAGTCGGACGGTGGAAGGAATACTTTGAGGAGCTCCTCAATCCCACCTACACGCATTCTGAGGAGAAACCAGAGCTGGGAGACCCGGGGATGGACTGTCCAATCTCGGGGGCAGAAGTTGCTGAGGTAGTCAAACAACTGCACAGCGGCAGAGCCCCGGGGGCAGATGAGATTCGTCCTGGGTATCTCAAGGCTATGGATGTTGTAGGGCTGTCGTGGTCATCGGGGGCAGTTCCTGTGGAGTGGCAGACCAGGGTGGTGGTCCCCATCTTTAAGAAGGGTGACCTGAGGGTGTGTTCCAACTATAGGGGGATCACACTCCTCAGCCTCACTGGAAAGGTTTACTTCAAGGTACTGGAGAGGAGGGTCCGATCGATAGTTGAATTTCAGATTGAGGAGGAGCAATGTGGTTTTCGTCCTGGCCGTGGAACTGTGGACCAGCTCTATACCCTTGCAAGGGTGATGGAGAGGGCATGGGAGTTTGCCCAACCAATTGTAGCGGAATATAGTTGGTATATTCTTACACTTTATTAAGGTCCAGAGATTAATCTTTGGACCGGGCACTTAGAATCAGAAGAGGTTGTTTTTACCACAGGGAATTTTATTCAAACACCTTGTATTGAGTTAGAGACAAGAAAAGAGAGATGGGACGTTTAAGAATATTTATTTTATAATTATTCGAAACAATCACCAGGACTAACTCTCTAATGATGGATGCAGATGAATGTGAGCTGAAGTGTTGGTGTGTGTGTGTCAGTTCAGAATCTCCATCTGACCGAGGCGAGTCTGAGGGCAAGATGATGTTTTGTTTAACTGAGCGATGATGGATTTCTGGAGGAAGACATGAGACGCAATCTATGGCGATCTACGTACCGTACGGGACCTCCGTGTTAGATCCGGATGCCAGGTCCTCGACCCTCCTTGTGCTGGAACTGGTGAAACAGCGTCGGCAGCATGACAAACCAGTCTATGGATAGCCTCCCGGTACAACGAGCAGATTTCAGCGTCACGTAGAGACCCCCCTTTATTGGGTCATAGAGTTCAGCTTTTATTCTGAAGGAACCGTCGTCTTGTTGATAAAATGACAGAGTTTTCCAGCTTGACAGTTCTCAGCTTAAAAGTAGAAAATACAGCTGGCCAGCCTGTACTTCACTTAGCGATGATGGACATCAGATGGATTTGAGAGCTGGTTGAACTCACGTTGGAACTACGTTGAAACTCGTGATGGAACTGCGATGGAACTGACTTAAAATGGCGTTGTTCTGTTTTATTAAGCTTAGTTGTTTTTGAATCTTAGCCAATCGGAGTGGACAGATTAACTAAACACCACAGATGTCACGTTCTGCCCCTGCCTTCCTGACTGTGTGTCCCTCTCCTGCCCTGATTGTCCTTATTGGTTTCACCTGCCCCTTGTTAGCCTGCCCATGTGTTCCTCATTTTCCCCAGTGTATTTATACCTCCCGTCTCGTTATGTCCTTTGTTAGATCATTGTTGTTAGTAGTCATCGTTGTTTTGTCCTGTTACTCCCATTCTGCCATTAAAACCATTTTTACTTTATTCGAAGCCTGCATTTTTACCTCCTGGTCAGCTCATCCACACATGGTCCGCCGTCTCCACCTCGTTCAACATGGCAGAATGATCTGACCAAACCCGGACCTGTGGTGAGCTAACACCTGTTTGTTGGAGGATTTATTTTTTACTTTTTTCTCCTTTTAGCAGAAGGAGATTCTGACCCAAGGTGTTGGCGCATCCTACCTGTTCTCCGAGGTGGTCAACCTTTGAGTGGGTTTCGACGCATCCAGTTTGTTCCTGTGGTGGTCAAACCCTTCTCCTCTCCTGCTTTCTGCCCCCGTCCCGTCCCGTCCCGTTTTTTTTTTTTTTTTTCATGGAAGCCGCGGATCCTGGAGCTTTAAGGGAGTTACACCCCCTACGCACGCCATCGTTCTCCGGGGTGGTGGGGCTGGTCTCCCTGCTCTTCTCTTGCTTCCCTGCACCCAAGCCTCTGCCTGAGATCCAGCTAATCATGCTGTGCACCTGCTCTGACCGGCTGTCGAGTGCCTGCCGCCGATCCTGGTTTCCTCGCGTCGCTTCTACAGATTGTCCACTTCCTGGTCCACGCTGGTGGGGCTTATGCCTGCAGGCCTCATGCTGCTGCAGCCTCTGCTGGGTCCCACACCTGCTTCTGCAGTTCTCTGCTGGGTCCTACGCCTGCTCCTGCAGTTCTCTGCCTGGGTCCCACGCCTGCTCCTGCAGTTCTCTGCCTGGGTCCCACGCCTGCTCTTGCAGTTCTCTCCTGGGTCCCCCGCCTGCTCCAGTCAAGTCTTCACGTTCCAGTCAAGTCAAGTCTTCACGCTCCAGTCAAGTCAAGTCTTCACGTTCCAGTCAAGTCTTCACGCTCGGGTCAAGTCAAGTCTTCACGTTCCAGTCAAGTCAAGCCAAGTCTTCACGTTCCAGTCAAGTCAAGTCTTCACGTTCCAGTCAAGTCAAGTCTTCACGTTCCAGTCAAGTCTTCACATTGCAGTCAAGTCTTCACGTTCCAGTCAAGTCTTCACGTTCCAGTCAAGTCTACACGTTCCAGTCAAGTCAGTCTTCACGCTCCAGTCAAGTCAAGTCAAGTCTACACGTTCCAGTCATGTCTTCACGCTCCAGTCAAGTCAAGTCAAGTCAAGTCTTCACGTTCCAGTCAAGTCTTCATGTTCCAGTCAAGTCAAGTCAAGTCTTCCCATTCCAGTCAAGTCTTCACGTTCCAGTCAAGTCAAGTCTTCACGTTCCAGTCAAGTCGAGTGTGTCCTGTTCCAGTCCCAGTCTAGTCGAGTGTTCCTGTCCCGAGTCTAGTCGAGTGTTCCTGTCCCGAGTCTAGTCGAGTGTTCCTGTCCCGAGTCTAGTCGAGTGTTCCTGTCCCGAGTCTAGTCGAGTGTTCCTGTCCCAAGTCTAGTCGAGTGTTCCCGGTCTCTTGTGTTGTGTAGCCTTGTGGGTGTCTGGTATCCGCCCCTTAAGGGGGGGGTACTGTCACGTTCTGCCCCTGCCTTCCTGACTGTGTGTCCCTCTCCTGCCCTGACTGTCGTTATTGGTTTCACCTGCCCCTTGTTAGCCTGCCCATGTGTTCCTCATTTTCCCCAGTGTATTTATACCTCTTGTCTCGTTATGTCCTTTGTCAGATCATTGTTGTTAGTAGTCATCGTTGTTTTGTCCTGTTACTCCCATTCTGCCATTAAAACCATTTTTACTTTATCCGAAGCCTGCATTTTTACCTCCTGGTCAGCTCATCCACACATGGTCCGCCGTCTCCACCTCGTTCAACATGACAACAGAGCTCTGCCACGCATCAGAAAGGAAGTTCTGATTGGATAAGTGAACAATGTGTCATGTGTTTATCTTATGTGAATCATAATGTCTAGCTCAGTTAGTCCAAAGTCCTGTTATTCATTAAACACATAAGTCATAACAGTGTGATTTCACAGATCAGTCTTCTGATTATTATTGACCAACAGTTGTTTTGATTAGCTTTATTAGAAATAAAGTTCTTTGATTAACTAATGAAAAGCGTTCTTCGTCCTTCTTCTGTCTTCTTTGCTGGAATGTAAACATCACAAGAAAGCACACGACCTTGGCAATTTATGCACACTGTCACTGTGTCAAAGGGCAGCTGTTAAGGGCAGAAATGGCATATTCATAACGCTACACAATCCACATGTGTTTTGTGGATTTGGAGAAGGCTTATGACCGTGTCCCTATGGGCACCCTGTGGGGGACGCTCCAGGAGCATGGAGTGGGTGGCTTTCTGTTAAGGGCCATTCAGAGGAGCATGAGTTTGGTCCGCATAGCCGGTAGTAAGTCGGACCTGTTTCCGGTGAGGGTAGGACTCCGCCAGGGCTGCCCTTTGTCACCAGTTCTGTTCATTACCTTTGTGGACAGAATTTCTAGGCGCAGTCGTGGTGTGGAGTGTGTCGAGTATGGTGGCAGGAGAATCTCATCTCTGCTTTTTGCGGATGATGCGGTCCTCCTAGTTTCATCCAGCTCTGACCTTCAGCTCTTGCTGGGTAGGTTCGCGGCCGAGTGTGAAGCGGCTGGGATGAGGATCAGCACCTCCAAATGTGAGACCATGGTTCTTGACCGGGAAAGGGTGGCTTGCCAACTCCGGGTTGGGGGAGAGGTCCTACCTCACGTGGAGGTGTTTAAGTATCTCTGGGTCTTGTTCATGAGTGAGGGTAGGAGGGATCGGGAGATCGACAGGCGGATTGGTTCAGCGTCTGCAGTATTATGGGGCCCTTCTCCACTATGGAGGCTGGCAATCGCTATGTCTTGGTGGCCATGGACTATTTCACCAAGTGGCCAGAGGCGTATGCAATGCCAGACCAAAGTGCTGCATCTTCAGCTCAGCGGTTGGTGGATGAGATGTTCTCTCATTTCGGAGTGCCTGAGGAGTTGCACAGAGATCAAGCGAGAGCCAGCCTTTCAGCGAAGTGTGTCAGCAGTTGGGGGTGAGAAAAAACATAACCACTCCCCTTCACCCGCAGAGTGACGGGCTGGTGTAGCAGTTTAATCGCACTCTTGACTACTCAGTTGGCTATCCTCACCAGCCAGCATCAGAGGGACTGGGACCTGCGCTTGCCTCTTGTGTTGTGGGCTTACCGCACTGCTGTTCAGGAATCCAGCCAGAGCACTCGTGCTGTTTTGGTGTTTGGGAGGGAACTCCAGACACAAGTGGACTTGGTGTTTGGGTCGGCTCCTGAGCCTGGGATTATGGGAGGACCAGAGCTGAATTATGTGAAACGACTGAAAGAGTGCATGGAGGAGATTCATCAACTGGCTCGAACAGCTCTACCTGAAGCTGGAGCTTGTCAGAAACGGGCATATGACTCTAGAGCTCATGGACCATCTTTTGTAGTATTTTTAGGTGGTATGTTTTATTTTGAAGGAATCTACAGGAAGTGCTAATGACTTTTGTCGTCATGAATGCTGCCGGTAGTAACACCTTTTGTACGCAGGAGGGCGACAAAAATTCATAATATCGAAGGCCTACATCACTGAGTTTCCATCCAGCTGTCGCGCAATCCAGCACACAACCATTGAGTTGTTTCTATTATCTACTGTAACTTCATGAGTGTTCCCTCTCCTTTATATTAATTTTCACAAAACTTTAGGATTTTTTTTCTAGCTTCATAAAGAGGATGAAATATTCTCTAAATGGTTTAACATACCCAGAATTTAGTTCTAGCTTTTTGCCACTGAATGAGCGTGCTCCACCCCCCCCCCCCACCCCACCTGCACGAACACACGCATTTTTTCTACAAACAGGCATGTTTTATTAGAACGACTATTGAACATTCATTTTTCTAAGTTGCACATATTTACATTAATTACTATGAAGTTGTCAGAATGTAAAGCAATATACATTATATACTGTATCAAAATATATAGAATCAAATATACAAAAACAACTAAACTAACTAAATATTAAGAATATATGAACATAATAAATAATAAATATTCTAAATAGCAAAAATATTTCACACATAACTGTCACGATGGTCGACTGGGTATGGGAGTTGAGCTTGGTAAGGATGTTAGAAGGCTGGATTATTCGGTAGAGAACTCTGTTCATGGATTTCAAAGAAACGATGACTGAGTGAAGAGCCGGTGCGACGTCTTCCATATATAGACTTGGGAGTGACGGGGAGAATGACGGGAGTTCCCGCGAGGAGCATGCTGGGAAATGTGGTCCAAGATGGAGGCCGGTTAGCTGGGAGAGACCGGTCCAGGGGCTTGGGCTCTGACAGGACCCCCCGGTCCAGGGACGGCTCCAGAAGTCCCAGGTTGACCTCAGCGATCCCAGAAGGCAGAGACGAGGGTAGGGACCAAGATGGAGCGGGCCGGCTCCCAGGAGCGTTCCTCGGGGCCGTAGTCTGCCCAATCGACGAGATACTGCCAGCCCCGTCCCCTGCGGTGAGCGTCCAGGATGCGCCGGACGGTGTAGATGGGCTCACCGTCGAGGAAGCGGGCAGACGGAGGCGCCGGAGGTGGAGGCGGAAGGAGGGAGGATTCCACGTAGGGCTTGAGCCGGGAGATATGGAAGGTGGGATGGATGCGGAGACTCGCAGGCAACCGCAGCCGTTACGTGACCGGGTTGATGACCCTTTGCACGGGGTAAGGCCCGAGGAACCGGGGAGCGAGCTTCCTGGACCCGGCACGGACACGGAGGTCCGCCGGGGACACCCAGACATTATCCCCTGGAGCATAGGAGGGACCAGGACGGTGTCGGCGGAGATGTTGGTGAAAGCAACGGGCATTAGCTCGGGTTATGGAGGCCCGCGCCTTGATCCAGGCGTTCCTGCAGCGCCTCGCCAGGGATTGAGCGGCCGGCACCGCAACTTCGGGTTCCTGGTGGGCAAAGACCGAGGGCTGGTAGCCATAACAGACTTCGAACGGGGACATCAGAGTGGCCGAGGAGGTGTGGAGATTGTGGGATAACTCAGCCCAGAGGAGATACTTAGGCCACTGCGAGGGTTGGGCCAAGACAAAGCAGCGGAGGTACCGACCCAGTTGTTGGCTTGCCCGCTCCATTTGGCCGTTGGTCTGCGGGTGATAGCCCAAAGGTAAGCTGACTGATGCTCCCAATAGATGACAAAAAGCCCTCCAGAACCGGGCTGTGAACTGGGGACCACGGTCCGAGACCACGTCGACAGGAAACCCATGGAGACGCACCACATTTTCCAGAAACAACTCAGCTGTGCGTCGGGCCGAGGGGATGCCCGGAAGGGTGATGAAATGAACAGCTTTAGAAAACCGGTCAGTGACCGTCATGATGGTATTAAGGTTGTTGACCGGTGGGAGTCCTGTGATGAAGTCCAACCCCACATGGGACCAGGGGTGGCTGGGTA